GGGGGGGGGGGGGGGGTCGGAAATTAGGATTTTCGATCTTTCTGGCATTAGCAGATATCGGTTGGAGAACTGACGTAAGCTATGTATGTGTGGAGAGAACTGAAACCTATTTGGGAAACTAATTAACGGCGGATCTTATTTCATATATCAATTTCCTTATTTTATATTATATTTTAATTTTAATTTGATTTATTGGAAAAAGAATCGGTTTTCTAAAGCTGATTGCCGGTATGTAGTTCCACATTTCATCGCTCGCGGCGCTAGTGTTTAAAAAATCTTGCGGCAATGCTGTGCACGTTGCGCAAAGTGTGTGTCAATTCGATGATCATATTTTTATCGAAGATTTCAAGCTTTAGTGTATTGACGTGTGTGTATATATAATACGAAAATTATACTTTCCATTTTAATTTGTTCGGTTTTTCAGAAGAAAAATGGCTTCTGCTGACGTTGCCTGGGCTATCATTCGTAACAACTCTGCTTTCATTCTGAAGAAGAGGTAGAATCTTGTTCTTAACGTGAAGGACTATAGAAGAAGTACTAGCGGTTATTTTTCTGTTCATTCCACTAATCAATGATACACAATTTTGTTCCACACATTTGCTTGATACACTGGTTTTGCGATTTCTGTTTTTTGTTATCCAAAATCTTTCTCCAGGAAGTAACCCATAATTTTCATTTTCAACGGCCTAGAACTTATCCTAACCTAACCCTGGAGGCTGGAATAGTACAAAATATTCTATATACTGGTATATTCCATGGTAAAAATCGTATACTAGGACAGACCCCCACCTTAAAAACAAAACCCAATGATACTACTAAAATCCAAAAATTTTCTTGATTCGAAAGGGGAACGTCTCACCACGGACTCTTAAAGCTAATTTAGTGCCGTCCTCCCAATAAAATCAACTTAATTATATAAATATTTTTAGAATTAGTTTTGGATAGGTTAGGTTGTACCACAGGCTACGGAGGGGCCGAGCGCTGCGGCAAGGGCAGATTAGGGGGGCCGAGCGCTGCGGCTAAGACAGGATAGGGGGCCGAGCGTTACTTCAGATCATTTAAAATCTTGCCCCATTCCCCTCAATTTATCTTAAAAAGTAATTTTTCTCCTCTGGGGCCGGGTTCCACAACCCTTCCTAGTGCCCATATATTTGCATACTCATTTAAGATTAGGAAGGATTAATTGATCTCACCTTGTTGAGAGAAATAAGAGCATTTTTGATATCAAAGGAACTGTCTAGGTAAAATGATTGGGGTATAGACTGAATCCTCCGAATGTCGGGCGTTAAACGAAACCAAAACAGATCATATTCAACAAATATGCAACTAACCTGAAAACGACGATTTCCCACAGGAGCCTGAGAAGTCAGTATTACGTCGCAAGAACTTATGCCAATAGCAGTGCAGTATACTGGGTGACTTCCGGCTGTATCACATGACAACGGTACTGCACTGAGCCCATTCGTTCCATAGAAAGTGGTCGTGTATTTCACGTACTTTAGGGGACGATATGTTGGCCGCTAGATGTCTCATGCTAAATTCTTATCTGATAGATAGATATGTCTCCGTACATTTTACGACCAATATTCTACACGTCAAGTGTCGACCAATATAGTTTATGGAAGGAACGGCCTCTGCCATTGGCTGAAGTTTTTGTGACGTATTACGGACTAATTGTAATAGTTCTTCTTCTTAACAACTTTATTCTATATAAAACAGATCAACAATAGTAATCTCATTTGTAGAATTATAGAGAGAAAAATTGTCTCATTTAATCTTAGTAGCTAATACTGTAATGAGCTGCTTTTTGCAGAGCTCTCCATTGATTAAGGTTTAATCAAAAACTTCATCGAATAATTTTGCAAGCGTAGTTTTAATTGTAATAATATTATCATAAAAAACTGGAAATTACATAAGGAGCTAACCTGAGATTCTCCGGATCCTGTGTGGTATCGTCGTTTTCAGATTGGTTGCGTATTTGTTGAATATGATCTGTTTAATATATATATAAATGAATTTTCACAGTTTAACAGTTTTATATCAATTTCTCGGGACAGAAACATCAAATAGATGTTTAAATGTATCGTTCAACGCTTGAGATTCTCTTGTTTTATCATATACTCCCTTTTATTTTTCCTTTACAGTCCCGTTGCTCGGAACCGGACCCAGGGCCAGAGCTTGACAATTTTTCAGATCCAGTAGATCTGGATCCGAAGCAACTAAAATATTTAATTTTCGAGAATTTTTGACTAATCTTTATTTATGAAAGGAACTGCAACCAGGCCTTTTCTACTGAAGAATGCAACCTGAGAAACGTCAACTCTCAGAGGTAAATTTTTAAATTACCTCCCCACCTAGTCATCATTTCGACTGTTCTGGATTATCTTATTTTATGCATACCTGTAGGTTAACTATTTGTATACAATTAACTTTGTTTTCTTTGGGATTCTTTAGTTTAATAAAGCAAGTCAAAACAAATATGCTACATGATCATTTTGGTAACCTGAAAACGCTTCCTTTTAAGAAATCCGAATAATTTCAATGTTATGATCTGAAAGGATTATACTTAATATTTTACCCTAATAAATGATAAATATTTTGATAATGTTTAGGTACAATGGTTTAGTTAACACCAAGGCTGTTGGTGTTACCCCTGGACCCAACAACAAGGGATTCGTCCTCACCACCAAGAAGGTCAAGGCCGCCAACAGACCCGGCAAGGCCTTGGTCAAGGTCACCATGAAGGCCGGATCCAGAAGATCCCTTCACAAGGTACAGAAAGTTGTTTCCACTGTTTGTTTTATGTTTGTCTGATCATAACTCAAGAACTCCTGGACCGACTTGCCTCAATTTTTTTCGGGGAGACCGACGGAAATGTTCTCTAAATTGAGTGGGTCGACTTTAAAAGCGGACATATAGTTTTCCGGTTAAATCTTTGAAGTGCGGGTTAACGGTGGAAGTAACAAATAGTAACATTGGCAGCGCTGGGTTCCCAAGCTAGTATTTTATATTTCAGCTGGAAGGACAGGACAGTGCTTAGGATCCGGGTTCGTTTGATTGAAGATTTTGGCTTCCTGGATCCGGATCCGCAAAAATTTGCGGGTCCGGATCCAAAAACTGCAAAAAAAACTTTTTTACTCTTAAAACTCAGCTTTGAACTTTTGAAAAAGAAAGATTATAAAAATTGCCTCATTTCTGAATGGTTATTCAAATTTTAGGATCAAAATAAAATAAATTTTAGATCATGAATCTTGGAGCATTTCCGCGCCGGCATTCAAAGTTTCAAGGCTGTAGCTCAAGAACTCTAGGCGTGAGCCAAATTGAGCCGAATTGCTTCAGAAATTGCACCTTGTCTTGCTAGACTATATGGACGCTCAAGCTTCCTCAACAAAAAAATTAAAAATTATTTTTTGTGAAAAAAAATCAGTAAATCTTGAAGAAATGACCTGGATCCGGATTTGGATCCGGATCAATTTTTTTCCAGTGCGGATCCATCAAAATAAAATGGATCCTAAGCACTGGTCCAGGATCTATATATGGTGTTAAATCCAGTGCTCAGGATCCATCTTATTATTATGCGGATCCTGGTACTGCCCAGAATAAGAATAGATCCGGATCAAGGCTTACATATTTCTTTATTTTCAACTATTTTTCAGTTCTTTAATGATAACCTGAACTATTCTGTGATCAGGAAACAGTCCTTCATAAAACATTGAGAATTGTGGAAGATGAAGGGAAAACTCTGTTAAAAATCGATATTTTTCTCTATAATATTCGATTTTAATAAAAGTCCACGGGCATCGTCGGGTACTGCAGCTTGCTGTTCAATAATAATTTATTATCTTATTATATTTTTAGATGAAGAACACCCTTGTTAAGCAGAGGTACAGGAAGGATCTTACCAAGGCTGCTATGCTCAGAGCTGCTGCCATCTGCAGGTACAATGTTGAAAGATTTAATGATGCTTCAAATACAAGATGAAGAACACTTTAATTTGCTAAAAAAAAAGAACCAAAACGACAGGTTAAATTAACAAGATTGATCGCCTTATTAGGTTGTTCTTCATTTATTTTCTATTAGGGTCAAATTTTGTAATTTAATCAACTATTTGTAATGATAATTTTGAAAATTAAGCATCTCCTTGGATTAAAAATCAAAATATTTTGGTCTAAAAAATAAGCGAATATTTTGTTTTTGACCAATACATTATTTTTCTTTTCCAAGTGTTCATTTAGTTCCGGTTTTCAACAAAGCGGATTTTCCGCTCATACTAATTTTCATTTGGAAATCTGCTCAGCTTTGCTTTCTCTTTTTTTGTATCCTAAGTAATTCATTAGGTTTCGAATCTGGTGAAATTCTTTTAGAACATAGATTTCTCTCCTTGTGTCTTCCTTTTGAGGGAGGGGGGGNAGCTACACTTGCTTTAGAGCAAAATAAATGCCAAGTAGATATTGTATTTTTTAGATAAATATTAGATCATTTTTAAAAGCTTATAAGTTTAACAATTTTAAAACTATATCGGAAATAAGTGACCAATTAAAGTCGTCGCTGGGGATTCTCAGCAGTTGTTTTATTTCCAGAAAAGTTAGCTTGGTGCTGATTTTTAAGATCTCTTTTCGCTTAATTACTTGTTTTTGGGAAAAAAAGATGCACAGTCTCAATATTTATTCTTCTGCAATGCTGTCCTATATTGAAGAATTAATAAAACTTACTGATCCTAGGTCCCAGAAGCCCCTGCCCAAGATGAAGGGACCCAAGGCTGTACCTGCCGCTAAGAAGGAATAATATGTCCCAAACTTTCGGCGCAAATATATTCTTGAATTTCACAATCTTGTTTATTTTATTACATTTATTATTTTATTCTTTACAGTATTTTACTGTTCTCCTGTTCCATATCATTTTGTAAACTCGGAAGAACTCAGTTTTAAGAATATCAAAGTTGCTTAACCCTACTCTTATGCATTTCTTAAATTATGAATGATCTCAAAAGTTGACACAAGAGTCGTGCACGATCCAATTTCACGGAGTCTGAAGGTTCAAGCAGGATTATAAAACCAATCATTGATAAGGGTTACTCATAAAGGATGAGACTGAAAAGACTACCTTTCATTAATATATATCGCGCTCTGAAGCAGAAAGTCCTTTCTTCTTAGCTAAATTCATAGAAATACCAATTAAAGGACATATTGAACGAGCAGGGGGAGGGTTGCGGCCATGAGCCCCCACTATTTCCCATTCACTGCCATCACATTTGACTTGCGGGCAAAACCACCTTTTTAAATGGTATATTTATTGCTTTTAGTGATTTTTAAAAATCACAAAATTTACTGTCATTACTTGCGCGTTATAGATTTTATCAAAAAAAAAGTTTTCTTAGCAATTTTCTTTTAACACATTGCACAATGCACATTTTCACACAAAATTTTCAAAACTAAAATGTATTTTTTGGTCAGTCATTTTTAATATTCATATAGCTCTTAAAGATAGGCATTTTTCATGAAAATCTGAATTAAAAAGTTTGGCAGTTAATATTAAGAGTGATCATCCTTTTTCATATAAACACTTAATATAAATTATGTTTTTATCGTGACGCGGCTGGATTTTTGAAATTTACGCTTTAAAGACCTTTCTAAAATGTAGTTGTGCCCAGAATAGTCGAATGTGACGGCCTGGAAGGGGAAATTGTGGTGGCTCATGGCTGTCGCAAGAATAAAAGATCAAATATGTGACACGGAAGGGGGAAAAAGTGGCGGCTCAGGGCTGTCTCCCTTCCCCCGCTCAGCAAACAAGGCAGAAATAAAAGCAAATATTCAGATCGTATATTTAAAGGAATAAACGTTGTTCGTAGAATCACCTAGGGAAATATTGATAAGTAGATTTCCTGTATAGGCTTTTTTTGCGCCAGGGAAAATTAACCCTATCCCTGCTGGGGTACTTGAAAACCAGTATACGCTGGGGGGGGGGCGATTTGACCCCCCCTCTAAATCCCATGTTGTATGTCCAAATATGACAAATGATACATCATTAGAAAGCTCTTGTGCTCTACTTTTAGAATCTGCAAAAAAATTTGCAAATTTGCGAAAATTGAATTTTTTATCGCAAAATCCAGTTTTATAGTAAAAATGTTTGCAAAAAAAAATTTGTCCAAAAAATGACAAATTATACATTTTTGAAAAGCCCTTGACCATGCCATTTCAAATATGCAAAAATTTTTGCAAAATTTTAAATAACCTGATTTTTAATCAAGAAAAACTAAAAATGTGCAAATTTCCTTTGACAGGTTGTTTGCAAAAAATTTGCAATTTTTTTTTCGCAAAACTTGTGCAATCCGTTTCCTTATGTCATAGGCTTTCCAAAAAGCTAAATTTTATCAAAATCTGACAAGTGAAAGTGGGTCAAAACAAAGATTTAGTTTGTTACAGGCAAAAGCAGTCATTCAGGCAGTGTGCCTGAGGACTCAGGCAGTTAGTATTAAAGCCCGGTTTTAGGCATAAAGGGAGGGCTTTGGGTATGTAAGAAAAGTCAGAAAATTTCAACAGCCTCAGAGCAATACTTTTTGAGTTATGTAAAAAAGTCTACAGGGGGGGGGTCAAATTGACCCCCCCCCCAGCAGGAATAGGGTTAAAGACATAATGTAGAGCTACCCACAACGGATGAGACTCCAGAGACGATTGCACAAAATCTGTGTCTGCTTCCCTTTATTTATAATTCCTGCGAAACGTAATATCGTTAGTTTCTTTGCCAAATCATTATATAAGCCATAAAAAGATTGTGTAAAAGGCAGGATTCACTGAGATAGAGTCAAACGACTGCAGAATAAGTAGCCGCAGCGCTCGGCCCAGAAATTGTCATAACCTAACCTAGCCCTAAAAATACATGAAATACATTTTTCCATTTTGATCCTTAGTCGTTTTACCCATTGTCGCGTTTTTGACCGTTTTTGTCGTTCGACCCTAGGTCGGTGAACCCAAGGCAGAAAACTTCATTTAATCTTGGAACTCAAATTTAAAAAAGTTTCAGATCGTTCTTACAGACTTGTCCTTGTAATTCTGTATACAAATCTTGCCCATTAGAAGAAGGTTGAAAATGTAATTAATTCTAGGGAACGATTAGTCAAAATAATCGTTAAGGATCGTTCTTAAAAATCGTAATAAAACTTTCAAGATTTTAAAACCTTCGTCAGTTAAGGTTTGCTTCTATGAATTTGACTATATCTAGGGGTAAAAAAATTAATCTCTAATGATCGTTTTAACACATTAGTTTTTGAATCGTACTTGGTTCGATTTTGTCTACATTTTCTTTCAGGGTCATAATTTAAGAGAAATCACATGTTTAGAATAAACAATTTTATGAAACTAATGCTTTACTTACTCTTTCGTCGCAATTCAAATCAAGTGTAGTAAATCTGAAAAGGAACCCAAAGTGGAACCTCCAGACTGCCTTCAGAGCACCACACACCATCGTGCAGATAGCGGCCTGGTGCAAAATTAGGGAAAAGAACCAACGGAATGGTTTACATCGAAACCATGTGTTTAATTTAAACCATCGACTTAGTCGCCAGAACCCTTGAGTTCAACAACCTGTCTATGGAAGTTTTTAATCCAAACCTTAGATTATATCATCTGAACTAGCGGTTTATTATCTAAACCTTGAGAGTGATCTCCTGAACCATCGAGTTTTCCATTTAAAGTGAGTGTTCACGATAAATAAAAGGGGTACAGGCTTACGGCAAAAAAAGCGTTTTTGATCGATACTAATCATACTTCTTTCTATCTGTTGCGTCTAGAAGGAGAAAATTCATATAAACGACTCAGACTGAAGAACGTAGCGTCCACACAAATTCAGAAAGTTGTAACATACAACTCGGATCGTTAAATAATCAATTAAATTCCAAACAAATCATTCAGATATGACAACCAATAGTTCCGATTATTTTTTGACCCATTCATATATAGTTATGTGAACCATATCCCTAATGTAACCCTGTTTCAAAGGTCGTCTCCGACTGATTTTATCTCCGTTGAATACTCCGTACTCCGGCCATCCGCCAAACCAAACCTTGCCAAGGATTTTACATAAATAACCTCATGGATCTAGTAAAACTTAAAGTGCATTAAAAAGAACCTATTTAAACACATTAATTGCCTTTGGATTTGTCATTCTTCGAGTTACCAATCCTTTGCTTAAGTACATCCCGCTTCGAGTAACTTTTCCTTTTGTTCAGCTCACAAGTTAATATTTCATAATATTTTTGATTTTGTTTTTAAAAAATAATATTTCGCTAGCGCTGGATTTTCGAACATTCCTGGAAAATATGAAAATGTCGTCTTCATTATAAAAAATCCTCGAAACAGGAATAAATGTTTTCAGAAGTAAATCAAATCATAAACAATAGTTTTTTCAAAACTGTTGAGAAAGTTATGTTGTTAACCTAAACCTGTGATTTAAAGCGTTGTACGTTTTGCGAAAAAATATATCGCGTGGAGAAGTTTATGTTGTTTGCATTGGGTGTCCTAAAAATATATCGCGTGGAGAAGTTTATGTTGTGTTGGTGTCCTAAAATATACCGCGTAGAGAAGTTTATGTTGTTTGGGTGTCCTAATAATATATCGCGTAAAGAAGTTTATGTTGTTTGGGTGTCCTAAAATATATAGCGTGGAGAAGTTTATGTTGTTTGGGTGTCCTAAAAATATACAGGGTGGAGAAGTTTATGTTGTTTGGGTGTCCTAAAAATATATCGTGTAGAGAAGTTTATGTTGTGTGGGTATCCAGCTCATCCAGCTTTTACTTGGGACAGGTCTAGTCCCGTGTTTTTTAAATTTAAATTTTTTAACTAATTTTTTTTTTTTTGGGGGGGGGGGGGGGTGTGTGATCAGAAATGTATATAATAAAGCTCTTTGCCCATATGTGTTAGTTGGCCGAACGGCTGGACCTAATTGGCTGAATTATGTTGAAGGAACCCTTAGGCTTCCTGGGGTTAACACAGGCTTAAAAAAACGATTTTTGACTCAAAATTCTAAAAGGAATTTAAAAAATGCTTCAATTTTTTTAGAAATTCCACGGACAACGCCGTGCACTCCAGCTAGTGCAGAGTATATAAAGAACAACAGTATTATGAACCCTTTTATTGTAAACAAACGATAATAATAAAAAGAATCACAAAGCTGGACAATGCATGTTAAGCTGTCGAAAAATAAGCACACTCGTGCTTCAAATGTACTTATTTTTTAAGCTCTCCAAATCCAAATAGATAGATGGATATTTAAGACAGGTTTGCAATCATATTCACCAGAAATCTTCCATACAACCTTGAAATAAATACAATTAGTCGGGTTGGACGAGTTTCTCAGATTTAAAATGCGATAAAAAACGAGGTTACGCGCTCTTCCATATTATGGAGGGCGGCGGGGGTATGGGACATCATTCCATTATGATTTGCTATGATTTTGAATTTAAAAGTTGTTTTTTCAAGCGTTTACACCATGCATGTGGATTTACAATATTGATCGTGGAGCTTAACTTAAACGATTTAATAAAACTATTTAACAAATTTAAAAAAAAATCCGTAACTAATTATATATAGACTAATTTTTTGCGCTTTCAAATTGATTGCAATCATTGTGCATTGTACAATTCGTAATTCCTGAATGCATGTAAATAATGAATCCACCATCCTGCTTACCATCCAGTTTCTTGAATACAATCCCCTGATCCTCCAGACTCATGATGGACTGTTATCTGGTCATTTGCAGCCAGCGACTGAACACATATTATCGTAAAAATTATCATTCTTGTGAGGAGGTAAAATCGATCAACTTTCTCTATCGTCTTTTTTCATAGATTCATACAGTGACACCCTTAATAACGAATACATCGGAAGAATTTATCAAATGTCGTCTTGACAAATTTTCAATGAGTTTTATACTATTTTACGTAAATTTCAGTATTTGCGAAAATTAATAAATAGCCATGAATATGCGGGAACAGTTTTAAAGAGTTCAATATAATCATTTAATTAAAAAACTAAATATCTGCAACATTTCATTATCAGAAAGTGAAGAATACGACATTTGATGAATTCTTTCGATGTATTCGTTATTAAGGGTTTCACTGTATATATATATATATATATATGCCACAATTAAAATTGACAGTTTTTCTCAAAAAACTTTTGTGGATCGCTAAATGTCAATCAAGCATTTAACTTTTTGATCATAGATTTATTTGAAATTATGTCTATTCAGTCCTGTGAATATAAATATCAGATTTTTACCCTCTTGTGCATACATTTTGTAGAGGGTTTAATCATATTTAATTAAAAGTGAATAATCTATATTTATGCCTTTTTTCAAACCTTGTATATTACTAATTATATTTGACCTGAACAATACAAGTTCCTGTAGACCTCCAATCTAGCTCAACAGCATTCCCTAGAGCTCCAACAACAACTCCATTCTAATGCAATACAACAATTATTGTATTTTTAAAAAGATCTTTTTTTTCCCAACCTTCTTTATGGTGACATCGTTTGATGTTCCTGAGTTCTGGAAGCGGAATGAAGTGCAGATATTATACCAACCAGCCTAAGCAAATTAAAAATAAGAGAATTGGGCAGATTGTAAGAGTTTATTGTGCTTGGACGTTGTGAAGAAAGGCTTTCTATAAAGTACAGACACAGCGAACCTTTTTCGTACAAGGATCAAAGGCATCGAGTCTTTGCCACAAAATCATGATTTATAATCCCTTTATCTTTGCAATCTTTGATATTCCAAACTTATATTATTGATCTAATTGCTCTTATCTTCTTCCCCCAAGATCAGTGAAATTTATGGTTGCTGATCAAAAACAAATCTACTTATTTCAATCTACATATTGCACCAAAATTAAAGATTATGTTTACCGCTGGGCTGGAACAGTGGAGGTTCCTGTTCTTGTACTAAAGGGATGCATTATAATGGTTCCTGTTACATTGTTAAAGAAAATGCTTACCACTGGAACTGTAAATGTTCTGTTCCAGTATTAAAAAGATGCTTACCGCTGGATCTGTAAAGGTTTCTGTTCCAGATATTAAAGCCATGCTTACCGCAGGAGCTGTAAATGTTCCTGTTCCAGTATTAAAGGGATGATTACCGTTGGAACTGTAAATGTTCCTGTTCCAGTGTTAAAGGGATGATTACCGTTGGAACTGTAAATGTTCCTGTTCCAGTATTAAAGGGATGATTACCGTTGGAACTGTAAAAGTTCCTGTTCTAATATTTAAGGGATGCTTACCACTGGAACTGTAAAGGTTCCTGTTCCAGTATTAAAAGGATGCCTACCGCTGGAACAGTAAATGTTCCTGCTCCAGTATTAAAGGGATTTTTACCACAGGAACTGTAAATGTTCCTGTTCCAGTATTAAAGGGATGATTACCGCAGGAACTGTAAATGTTCCTGTTCGAGTATTAAAGGGATGATTACCGTTGGAACTGTAAAGATTCCTCTTCCAGTATTAAAGGATGATTACCGCAGGAACTGTAAATGTTCCTGTTCCAGTACTAAAGGGATGATTACCGCAGGAACTTTACATGTTCTTGTTCCAGTATTAAAGGAAAGCTTACCGCTGGATCTGTAAAGGTCTATGTTCCAGTATTACAGGGATGCTTACCGCAGGAACTGTAAATGTTCCTGCTCCAGCAGTATTAAAGGGATGCTAACCGCTGGAACAGTAAAGGTTCCTATTCCAGTATTAAAGGGATGCTTACCTCTGGATTTGTTAAGGTTTCTGTTTCAGCTTTAAAGGGATGCTTACCGCTGGAACTGTAAAGGTTCCTGTTCCTGTATTAAAGAAAATTCTTACCGCAGGAGCTGTAAAAGTTATTGTTCCAGTTTTAAAGGGATGCTTACGGCTGGAACTTAAAGGTTCCTGCTCCTGTATTAAAGAATATGCTTACAGCAGGAGCTGTAAAGGTTCCTGTTCCAGTATTAAAGGTCACAGCAGCCTGCTCTGTTACAGTTGACCCAGCGTAGTAGATATCCAGGTTACTTGTCCAACCAGTAATTTGCTAAACAGTCCAGTTATATGATCTGAGATTTACAAATTATTTAAAAAAGCTTGTCACAATTTTATTAATGAGCGGATTATCATAAAAAGATCGTTTCAAGGCCAGAAATCATATTTCACGGATTTTTCCAAAAAATCCAACCTGTTTGTTGCACTTTGTTCCTGCTCCGAGATAAGCATCAACAATCAGAACTTTATCTGTAGAGGTTGCACTCCAAGTATGTCTTAAAACATTCTCAGTATAATCTTCAGCAAATTCAAAATAAAAATAAAAAATCAAAAGTTATTCTGCGTGAGATTTTCCGGAGTCATTCCCGAATTTGATTCTTCTTATTATGTCCGTTCTGAATTTATTGCTGGAATTTGTTTCTGGAGTTTATATGACGGTCCGGAATTAAAGCTTTCCGTCCTGATTTTGTCTCTGTTTTTTTTCGGTCCTGAATTTGTTCACCCAGAACTATATTTGTCCTATTAGAATTTCTCCTTCCGAATTTTTCTCTTTGGAGTTCGTCTGTCCAAAACTGTCTATCCCTTCTGCCTCCGTTATGAATTTGTCTCTCTGGAGTTTGTCCGTTCTGAATATGTCTCTCCGAAGCTTGTCCGTCCTAAATTAGTCAATAAAGTTTCTCCGTCCTGATTTTTTCGGTATGGATCTTGTCTGTTATGAACTTGTCTCTCCGGAGCTTGTCCGTCCTAAATTAGTCAATAAAGTTTCTCCGTCCTGATTTTGTCGGTATGGATCTTGTCTGTTATGAACTTGTCTCTCCGGAGCTTGTCCGTCCTAAATTAGTGAATAAAGTTTCTCCGTCCTGATTTTGTCGGTATGGATCTTGTCTGTTATGAACTTGTCTCTCCGGAGCTTGTCCGTCCTAAATTAGTCTACAGCTCTGAGGTTTCTCCGTCCTGATTTTGTCTTTATGGAGCTTGTCCGTCCTGAATTTGTCAATGAAGTTTCTCTGTTCTGATTTTGTCTCTATTGAAATTGTCCTTTCTAAATTTGTCTCTCCGGATCTTGTCCGTCCTAAATTATAGTGAATAAAGTTTCTCTGTCCTGATTTTGTCTCTACGGTGCTTGTCCGTCCTGAATTTGACAATGAAGTTTCTCCGTTCTGATTTTGTCTCTCCAGAGCTTCTCCGTTCTGAATAAGTCTAAAGCTCTAAGGTTAATTATCCGTCCTAAATTTTTCTCTCTGAAGTTTTCCGTCCTGATTTTTTTCTCCAAAAAGAAACTGAGTTTTTGCAACAAACTTTGATTTCATAACCCTTATATATTTTCAACGCAATGTTTTATACTTAATATTCTGTTAGATCAAATAGCCTAAGCTTGAAACATTAAAAAGGTTTGCACCATGAGGTTGCAAAGCTATTGGGATTTTGATTTTGTGGCAAAAACTCAGTTCCTTTGTCTCGTACTGCACTATTCTTATCGTAAAGTTTTAAAAACTAGCCTTATAGGGCGCTTCGCGCCCATCTTCTAAATTAATTGTGAACATGTTCTCTTTGTGTACATCGTAAAACAAAACAAAAATAATTCGCGGATTTTCACAAAAAATTTCGTGGATTTTCAAAATTTTAAAAAATTTAATGAAGATCGAATTTTGATGGAGACAAATATTTAAAATTTCAATCATTCATAAACCTTCCCTGGGGTCCCTAGATGCCCCACAAAAAATTTGGGCCCGATCGGTTCAGCCGTTTTGACGTTTATTGGATACAAACAGACAGACAGACAGACAGACAGACAAACACCAAGACAAGCCAAATTTATATATAGATAGATAAACCTGTTGGTTGCTGAGCCATTAACCGGATAAATGTTTCTGTTCATCAAATCTGAGAATTAAAAGTCTGAAGTTTAGATTTTAAGACTATATTTTAGAAATTTCTTACTAAGTTTTCCCTGGGCTATGGAGAGATCATTCTGTACAGTTTTTAGCTCTCGAATCAGTGTGTTTGCTCTTCTATTCGCTATTCTAGCCTTCCTAGCCAACTGCCCCTAGAAACATTTTTGTGATTAGTGATTAGCTTTCAGCCTATACCCCCTTTCATTTTTCCTTTACTGTCCCTTTAAGGGACTGTAAACGTGATTTCATGTGACCTTATTTTCAGTAGCGCGACATGTCGGATTCACACCGGTACCCTTAAACACGTTGTATGATCAAGCGTGAGTTAGAAATCCTTGTTTATAATTTTAAAAACTGATTATTTTTAATTGTTGAAATGAGAACTGCGCATTTCTGCTACAGGAATTTTCAAAATAAAACACTTCTAAGCTATAAAACAACGTTGTTCTGCTTTCAGGGTTAAGCCCCTCTTTAAATATAGCGTAACTTTAAATTAGAACTACTGTCCCTTTTTTTATTAAAGCCAAAATTTCCAAAAAAATGAATTTGAAAAATAACCTGTACAGTAGACAGGATTATTAGAAGAAGTGAAATTGACCAGTTTGCTTCCATGCTCACACCTGAATGACTCTAGTCCATACATTTAGTTATCAAAAGTGTTTTTTTTCTTCATTAAAAAGTATAATTGCACTTTAATTTGGTTTAATTATCGTCTATAAAATATTTAATATCACCTGTTGTAGGTATTCATATAATTCTCCACAGTTTAATTTTCAGTTGGGTTTTTGAGAAGGCCGAGGAACCACTTTTTTTCTAAGGGCTTTCTACATTTAAAAAAAAAGATTTGACATTTTGGTAAAAATATGAAAATTAAATATGGATTTATTTTCTACCAAAAGTTAAAGTCCTGTCTTCAATAAATCTCAATTTTTGTTGCATTCATATCTTTAGAATTCAATTGGTTCTGTTCTAGGCTTTTAAATACAAGTTTTGTCCAAAATCATTCTTTCCAACTCTCTCCTGAATTATTTATCTATAATAATATTTATTATTTTGTTCAAAATTCATGTCCTATAAAAGAAATTGTAAATTTATATATTTAGATTTGCAAAATAATGTTGATAAAATTCCTTTGTTGCCTCTTGGCTTTATTAATGTTGGTTTCTGGACAAAAGGTAAACAGTTTCTTCTGCTTTTTATTATTAGATTTTTTGTATAAATTTCAAACCAAATATTTTTAGCTAACTTCAGCCAACTTGAGAAAATGCAACACCATGCTGAACCAACTCGACTCTAAAATTCAGGAGCTTAAAGCAAACTTGACCTCTGTTAACGTAAGTGTTAGACGTTTAAAGACTTCAAATAAAATGGTTTATTATCATAATCTTCGAGTTCAGCATTCAACAGACTAAATTGGCTTAGTGTCTAAAAGTTTAGTCAAAAGATACCAAAAAATGGGGGAATCATTATTATCATTATTACAGGGAATTTGACTTTACCAATGGTTTCTAAGACCAGGTTCAGCCAGTTATTTTTAATTGTCAATTCTTTTTTGTTGGATTTTCAATAATATGTTAACAACCTTATTTTAATCCCTTGAAGGCTGAGATGAGTTCTCGGATGTCCAGGAGTATTGTTGGTACTGATGCTATTTATGCTATGGATGCTACTCTTCCTGCTGGAACTCTGAAATGTGGTCGACAGGTTTAAGTTTCAGCTTTGCAACCAGAGCTGGGGACTTTTGAAGTAGATACTTATAATCCCGTTCACTTGATCAATGCTTAATCCATTTCATTTATGCCTTCAGGGTACGATTACCATGACGGATATTGAATGAAGATTAATGCAATCTTCAGATTAGTAAAAGATTGATCTCGATATCCACAATACAGGATCGAGTTCACAGCTTAGTTTATTTCTAGTTTACTCATCAGGAATGTTCAAATGTGTTTTATTCCTTTAAAGTATAAAAAAGTGGATTTCAAAAAATAGTAAAATATGTTTAGGATATCACAGGTTGGACTACAAACTTAGATTCTTACTATGCTGCAGGCAGCTCGACTTTGGTGTCTAATACTTATTTTTCAAATGGGTAGGTCACTATTTATTTTATATTAAAACATAGAAATCAAACTTTTTCCCTTGTTTATAAATATTTAACTAAACCATAGATTAAAAGTTGTAAAGAAAAAAATCTAAAAAAGTTCTTAAAAATGTAAACAATAAATTTTATTTTCTTATTGTGTTTATTGCTCATATAATGCTAGTTACTGCAAAAAACTGTGTTTAATGTGTTTAGTACTACAATGTCTGTGTTTAGTGTGTTTACTGCTTCTATTACCGGTTACTACAATATCTGTGTTTAGTGTGTTTACTGCTCCTATTACTGGTTACTACAATATCTGTGTTTAGTGTGTTTACTGCTCCTATTACTGATTACTACAATATATGTGTTTAGTGTGTTTACTGCTCCTATTACTGATTACTACAATATCTGTGTTTAGTGTGTTTACTGCTCCTATTACTGATTACTACAATATCTGTGTTTAGTGTTTTTACTGCTTCTATTACTGATTACTGCAATATATGTGTTTAGTGTGTTTACTGCTCCTATTTCTGGTTACTACAATATCTGTGTTTAGTGTGTTTACTGCTCCTATTGCTGATTACTACAATATCTGTGTTTAGTGTGTGTACTGCTTCTATTGCTGATTACTACAGTATCTGTGTTTAGTGTGTTAACTGCTCCTATTACTGGTTACTACAATATCTGTGTTTAGTGTGTTTACTGCTTCTATTACTGGTTACTACAATATCTGTGTTTAGAATGTTTACTGCTCCCATTACTGGTTACTACAATATCTGTGTTTAGTGTGTTACTGCTTCTATTACTGGTTTACAACAATATCTGTGTTTAGTGTGTTTACTGCTCCCATTACTGGTCACTACAATATCTGTGTTTAATGTGTTATTGCTTCTATTACTGGTTACTACAATATCTATGTTTGGTGTGTTTACTGCTTCTATGGCTGGTTACTAGGTTACTACAATATCTGTGTTTAGTGTGTTTACTGCTCCTATTACTGATTACTACAATATCTGTGCTTATTTTGTTTACTGCTCCTATTACTGATTACTGCAATATATGTGTTTAGTGTGTTTACTGCGTCTATTACTGATTACTACAATATCTGTGTTTAGTGTGTTTACTGCTCCTATTACTGATTACTACAATATCTGTGTTTAGTGTGTTTACTGCTCCTATTGCTGGTTACTACAATATCTGTGTTTAGTGTGTTTACTGCTCCTATTGCTGGTTACTACAATATCTGTGGTTTCTTCAGATTCAGAAACTCTGGGGTTTCCAACGACGTGAATTTATATAAGGTTATTTCAAATTTGGCTAATAAAGTGATTTTTAATCGTGCTGTTAACGCCATTAAGGCCTTTTCATTTGGTGTGTACCTGCTAATGCGTCATTTTTAACATTCAAACACTTAATCTTCTTAGGAGAATTCTTAATCAATTGAAATTTGATTTTTAGACGAAATTCTAACATATAGGAAAAGGAATACTTAAAGTTATTTAATGAGTTAAGTTGAAAAGCATTTCTGTTATCAGGGAACAACAATAATTGCTTCTTTTGGAGATGCGATACAATATGATTGGAGGTCAACTGGTACATGCACAGTACAGGTAGATATATTACAGTACTGCAGGTACAATACAGGTAGCTAGGCTCAGTTAGCAGATACAATACAGGTTGCTAGGTACAGTGCTGCAGGTACAATACATTTAGCTAGGTACAGTAAATCAGTTACAAAACAGGTAGCTAGGTACAGTACTGCAGGTACAATACAGGTAGCTATAGGTACAATACTGCAGGTACAATACAGGTAGCTAGGTACAGTACTGCAGGTACAATACAGGTAAGTAGGCTTTATACTGCAGGTATAATAAAGGTATATAGGTATAGTACTGCAGGTACAGGTAGATATATTATAGTAATGCAGGTATAATATAGGTAGCTAGGTACAGAACTGCAGGTACAATACAGGTTTCTAGGTACAGTACTATAGGTACAATACAGGTAGCTAGGCTCAGTACTGCAGGTACAATACAGGTAGATATATTACAGTACTGCAGGTACAATACAGGTATCTAGGTACAGGACTGCAGGTACAATACAGGAAGCTAGGTACAGTACTGCAGGTACAATACAGGTAGCTAGGCTCAGTACTGCAGGTACAGTACAGGTACCTAGGTACAGTATTGCAGGTACAATACAGGTAGATAGGTACAGTTAGCAGGTACAGGGATCTCATAATAAATATGGGGAATTAGGAGACTACTAAATATCGTCATTGATATCCGATTATAAATAAAAGATATTATGGGAAATCATATCAACTGAATTATTATCAAAAATGTGTGTTTGAAAAATATTAAAGGTCTCGTTACAATTACTTCCTTTTTTATTGTGACAACCTGTAAAATTTACTTTACAATAAAAGTTATTAATTAAATTATTGAATTAAAAAACAAACTTCAGAATTCATAAAAGAACATAATTGACCACCATAACATTCTTTATTGTGTAAATATTATTTAACCGGCATTGCTACCAACCACAGAGATTCCCAATAAACATGGGAATTCAGTGAAGATTTCGACATCGTCTTTTCAAATTATTTTTGATTTAGTACATTGATAGTGATACATACTGAGATTCCTGAGCTAGCTGTGATTCGAAGGATTTTCGTCTGCTAGAGTTTGGCATTTTGTTTGTTTCTACGTACGTTGATTGTAAAACAAGCAATTACCTTTTACAAACAAAAGAAACGTGTCTGTACTTACTGTTCAACTTGCAGATACATTACATGCACATCAAAAGGCTTTAAACCGTTTTAATAAAATAAACTCTAGCAGACATGATTATATAATGACCCTTAAAATCAGGTTTTTCAATTCTATTACTTCTTAACAAAGACGATCTCGAATTTGTCACTCAATTACCATGTTTATTGACAAACCATGTGTATAAGTTAAAACATTTCTCTTTACGCCGGGTAATGCCAAAGAGAAGTGGTTTAATTTAGTCCTCGTAGTTCAACTACTTCTGATTATTCATTAAATCTGGTTCCAGACGATACTGACAGATAACGACACAAGTAAAAATCAACCAAGAAAAGAAATGAGTCTTTGCAACAAATCCCAATTTTCTAATACCTATATATCTGCAACCTAATTATCTAAACCTTAGATATTTCAAACATTCATTATTTGATATAACAGAAGTCAAAGTTTGAAATATCTAAGGTCTACAACATTGGGTTATTAAGATATAGGGATTTAAAAACCAGAGTTTGTGGCAAAGACTCAATTCCTTTATATTACAATAAGAGAAGGGGCGTTGCTACAAGTATTTTAATATATTTTTTATATTTAGTTATTTACTGTTTAGTCTCTAGCAGCTGGTGATACTATTAAAATGAGGCAGGATTCTACAGGATCTGCTGATTGTATTGAGGTAGGGGTATTTATACAGTGATAACTAGAAAACTCTGGAATAGGAAGTCGAATTTTACACTCAATTTATGACTTTAAATAGTCCGAAGAACATGAGCACAGCAATCGTGCATTGTAAATAGACCCATTTCACTTAATAAATGATTTATAACTTACTATGTAGTTAAACTATTTGCTTTGTAACAACATCAAATGCACTACTGTTTTTCCTTAATGTCGTCTTCCAATTATGCAGTTTTCTGGTTATCACTGTATTTAAAATTTTAAAAATAAATAACACGTTTTCCTCCAATTTAAGAGTTGAACTCCCAATTTACAACTGTATTTCTTACCAAAGTGAATAAATCACTTTGACCTACATCTTTTTCTGAGCTACTATGAAAAAGAATTTGTTGTTTTTCATCCAAAAAGCGTGTTGAATTCTATTATTTTCCTTCATTATCTCTGCTGCATTGAATCGTTTATGAAACTCATCAATTGAATGATCATTCCAGTGAAGAATCCCTTAAAAGATGTATTGTGCATATTTCAGGAAACTGGTTGGTTCTACGCTTGGTTCTCTGTTTATCTTATCATATTTCAGGAAACTGGTTGGTTCTACGCTAGGTTCTCTGTTTATCTTATCATATTTCAGGAAAGTGGTTGGTTCTACGCTATGGTTCTCTGTTTATCTTATCATATTTCAGGAAACTGGTTGGTTCTACGCTAGGTTCTCTGTTTATCTTATCATAAATTCAGCTTAATCCAGGAGTCCAAATTAAACCAATCAGAGATCAGAGTTCTGGTTTCAATAAACTGAATAATGATTTATCATTGGTGATCTGGTTAAAGAATTGCAAAGCTGTGACTATGCTGGACATATTTCTTATTCTTTGTTTAGTATTTAATTACAACATATGAACTATAACTTTAATGTACTATATTAGAAATTAGGGAAATGCTTTATTGACTAAATATATCTTATAAAAATACTTTGTTTTTATCGTAAAACGTTTTAAACGTTTAAATAATATTTGAGTTATACATCTAAGATGTGATAAATAACTATAGCAAGGTGCATAAGTGAAAAAGTAGACAAATCTACCGGTTTAATGAATGATGAAACTTCTCCTTTCTATTTACCTGACTAGAACAATGACCGGCCAGCTAGTATACCTTGACCTACCTCAGCAGGCTTTCCTCTAATCACTAGAGATTTTTTTTTATATTTGAACCTTATAAAAATGTATATATGCTTTTAAAACTTTTTTGAGTTTAAAGCACTTAAAGTTTATTTAAGTAATTAAATGTGGTTATGTGGGAAATATTACAGGAACGTCTGCACTACAGAGAGAGCAGTGTTAAAAATATATAATTCCAGTTTAATACAATAAACATTCTTACAGACAGTCTTATATTCTGTACTCTGTACCTAATTACAGGGGTGAAGCATGTGGGCGGTGCCCCCTCGAAAAATTTGTGAACACGAAACAGGGCAAAGACAGAGTGAATATATTTTTATTTATTATTGATTTAAGATTAGAAATATGGATTTATATTTTCTAACTGTCCTAATTTAGCATATTTTGTAATTTCTTTTACCTAGCGCAACCACCCTATAGAATATTGTTTACTATACACTCTTAAATGAATCAGAAAAGAAAATGATTCCAATTTTTCGATCGTTTAAACGAGTAAAATTTTTATATAAAATGCAGTCCAACTGAAAACCTTTTCTACCAAGATTTGTTGAACAAAATCAATCCAAAATTGGCAAAATATTTAGTGCTTGGGAAAGAGAAGAGATTAAAACTTTCCGGTATAAATCTTTGTTTTAAATGTGTCCTCTATAGCCAGTTGTAGTACTGGACAAGGGACGCCCTGTAGTTTAAAATAATATAAAAAAATAGATAAAAATTATAAATTGGTACACACTACACACACATGCAGTATAAAGTATGTTCAATTTCACATAGACCCAAAATGAATGAATCTCTGCCCAAATCTCCAACAACATTGGAAGATTTCACAAAGGAACAGAAAACCATTTCAATCAGAAATAAGACAATCTTAAAACTTCAAAATTTGTTATGAGGCCGTTCCTTCCATAAACTACAGTAGTCGACTACATGACGTCTACTAAAGGGGTCGTCATGTGTACGGAGAACAAATGTTTTGTTAAAACGCATTCTTCCATGAGTTATTGGTGTCTGAGTATAGTCCGACCACAAAACAAAACACGGCAATCAATTAATGCAATGAAATAAAAAAGCTAGTTTGATTACCGCTGGCACCTTTTCTAAAAGTAAATCATGGCCACAGTACGGCTTATGTTTATTGTTCTAGATACCGTATGGCGTGAGAAACTCTGTCAGTCCGTCCCTATATTTTTGGCAAAAGTAAATATTTCCATTTACTGATAGCGCCGATTGAAGGATTCATAACACTAATTGGATAATGAGATAGATAGAAAGATAGATGTTACCACCATACTATTTCTTTTGGATCAGAATAGACAGCAAACATATGACTTAACCCTGATTGGATCAGGCACTAATGGACCCGGCATACAGGAGTGCCGTTAATAACTCACGAGAGACATCTAGCAGCGAAACAATCTCTCCCCAAAGTACGTGAACAACACAACCACTATCTTATAGAAGGAACGGTGTACTGTGGTGCTAATCTGCATTATACAGGGTTACCCGCAAATGATGAGACTATAAAGACGACCTAAAACCCTTTAAATTTGAAAATTTCCAGATCCTCTGCCTTAAAGTTAATTATTGTCCTTCTTAATAATTGGGCAAAGAAAGAAACTATAGTTTACAATTGCAGATGGAATAATAAAAATAAGGAAACAGACCGTATAAATTAAGTACAGTCGTCTCTGAAGTCTCATTCTTTGTGGGTAACCCTGTTATAATTTCTATTTAAAAAAAATAAAAGATGTGGAGATTATGAATAATTGATTAAGAGATATGACTGTATTCTATAAATTAAGTATACATGTTAAAGACTGGTTTACCAATTGATAAGTTTAGAAATGGGTTGTACGACTAAAACCATGTTCAAATTTTTTTCAATCCACGGAACTGAAATTTGAAATTATTTTGATTATATTAAAATCAATTTATAATTCAACTTACGTAAATAATGCAAAACTAGAGTAAAGTGCAGCCCAGAAAAGCTTCTAAATAAGTTCTAAATATTTTTGTTCAAAATAAAAATTCTGTTTGGTTTGGGAACTTTTTTCTTCAGAATCTTTCCTACTTTCTGTAAGGTTTCACATCGATATGTATAAGGCCAAGGATATCTACTCGATATAAAGCAATATTTATTAATACTTATTTTAACTCAAACTCTTAACTGAATGAATATAGAAAAAATATGCCGGTTTAAGAAAGTTTTAGATTGATATTTGCAATCATCCAGAACAAAAAGTTTTATCAAAAATTAAACTTTAAAAGTTTTATAGAAGTTGTTAAAAAAATGCAAAAAAAATCATTTCTGACACCCCTAGGCTTTGTACGCCAATATAATTCACCAAAACCATACTGCAGTCCTTCAATTATCATGCAGGGAAATTTTCATCTTTCTAAACATCCCAACGAAAGATTTGACAGGTTCTTTGAAATTATTTTGATTATATTGAAAATCAATTTATAATTCAACTTACGTAACCCTATCAACATTAAGGAGGTTTCTTCTGAATAACTTAAAAATGGCTTACATTAGAACGTTAAAACTTCTTTACTTTTCAGCATCATAGTTGTGAACAAAGGAATTGAGTTTTTGTCACAAACTCTGATTTTCTAATCACTATGTCTGTGGAACCAAATGTTGCAGACCTTAGATATTTCAAACTATGAATTCTGTTAGATCAAATAATCTGAGTTTGAAATATCAAAGGTTTAAAACATCGAGTTCTAAAGATATTGAGGTTTAAATATTTGATTTTGTTCCAAAGACTCAATTCCTTTTGCTAACCATTAAAGTTAGAGATCTAATATTTTTAATGAGCAGGCCTTAATGTGTTGGACTAGGGACATGTATCACTCTCCCCTATCTTCCCTCTAAGAGCAAGATCATAAAGGGTGGGAGTGAAACACCCCCCCCCCATCTATATTAGACAAAAATAGCCCAAATCGTGATAGGGTTTAAGAAATTGTCAGCCGTAATGTAAAAAAATAAAAAAGGGCTTGTTCCACTTTACATTATACATAGGATATAAAGAGCTTGTTCCACTATACATTACATAGGACATAAAGAGCTTGTTCCACTATACATTACATAGGACATAAAGAGCTTGTTCCACTATACATTACATAGGACATAAAGAGCTTGTTCCACTATACATTACATAGGACATAAAGAGCTTGTTCCACTATACATTACATAGGACATAAAGAGCTTGTTCCACTATACGTTACATAGGACATAAAGAGCTTGTTACACTATACATTACATAGGACATAAAGAGCTTGTTCTATACATATTTTCTAAATTACCAAAACTGGTTTGTGTTGAGCGAAGAAGTGGGCCCACAGTGTGCTTGAGGACTACTGGAACAAGGCTGAACTAGACTCCAACAAAGTCGAGGTCAAACACGTGACCGCTAAACTTAACGGTCTCCAGGTAAATGAAAGCAATCATAATATCCATACCGGTTTTCAAGTTTTGTTTTGCATGTTATTTTCAAGAACAATATGCGTGACGATGTAATGCATTTTCTGCATGAAGATCCACAGGAAACCAAATATTTCACTGTTCCGGGGGGGGGGGAGTGAATCCCCTAATCACCCCCCCCCCTGTATATGCCTCTTACTTTGATGGTATTATCGAGATGTAATACTACTAAACGTTTGTTGGGGGATTTAAGAGTATAATTTAAATAAGTCGATTAAGTAGATATGATATTTATAAATGTCTTTCTGTAGGGTTTACTGTCTACCACCTATATAGTAGATGTTACATACGAATATGAAGAAGAGGAAAACATAAAAAGTATTTTTGTCAAGATTCCGCTTCGTGAAGATGGACTCAATACATACCACGAGGTAAGCTAGGTTAAGTATCCCGAAAGACCGATATTATCTCGTTGTTAATTTATAATTTTTTCTATCCACTGAGCGCTCTTTTTTCCAACAGCGCGTGATACAGAATGACAATCTTAATCTCACTTTTGAAAACTAACCTACATAAAACTATTTTAATATTTGATGAAGAAAAGTTAAAATTATGTTAACTGTTGTTAATAAAATGGTTACACATAAATCTAGACTGCTATGAGAAGTTACATACATTTTTTAACCTGGGTCGGTTTTAAAGTGAACTTAATAAACTTGCCTGAACGTGTGGGAAGTCTCACAATAAAATTGTAGATATTTAGAATATATGGATTTCAGGCCAACCTAAGAGAACTGAATATGTTCACTGAGATTCTACCCAAACTTCAGGAGTACCTAGTGGATAAATGTACAGGTATATAGGAGTACCTAGTGGATACAGGTATACAGGAGTAACTAGTGGATACAGGTATACAGGAGTACCTAGTGGGTACATGTATACAGGAGTATCTAGCGGATACAGGTAAAGAGGAGTACCTAGTGGATACATGTTTAGGAGTACTTAGTGGATACATTTACTTATTTCACTTTCGAAGAATTATTGAATATTTATATAATCAATAAACTTTCATATGCTTCTTAATGCTTTAAAACACCATCTTTTATATGGTATTAATAACTCAGTAATTACCCAATAATCACCCAATAATTATAAACTAATTAATGAAGAATATGGTCTAGATTATTCATGAAAGGTTTGACACCTAATTACTTGTCTAATTTACATAATTTATTCTATTTTTCATTTTGAAAAGATTATTTAAGTTCTATGAGTATATTAAAAAATAAATTACTTTTATAATTTATAAAATCAATATTTTATAAATGTGTTGAGTGACTGCACTTGTCAACCTTTATAAATCAAAAAAGTGCGTTCAGTATTTTAAGGAAGTGAGCTTTTGCCACAAACTCTATTTTTTAATCCCAATATCTTTGCAACTGAATGCCGTAATTCTCTTATATTTTAACCTTGAAATTTGCTAGATGAAATAATCTAAGTTTAAAATTTTAAAGATTTTCACCATCAGGTTGCCTTGATATAGTGATTAGAAAATTTGAGTTTGTGGCAAAAACTCAATTACTATTACTAATTATAAGAAATGACGAGACATGATTTAAGGAACTTTAAGATTTAAGGTAAATCGAATGCTCCCCCTTGGATGGCTTGTGAAATCCCAAAAATATCTAAGAAAATGAGTTTTTATCACAGGAGACTGAACTTTTCTAATCCCTTTATATTTGGAACCTGGCGCGACGGTGTTCACCTTTGATAATTAAAACTGTTATTACTTGATCAGGATTCATAGTAGAAATATATACCGTCAATCTTATTTTTTGCAAAGATATAGGGATTGATTGCCAATCAGAGTTTGTGGAAAACTCAATTATCGATCCGCGCACATTTTACATAAAAAGACAGAAAGCCAAAAATGCTTTTACAGTAACAAAGCACAAAATTTTTTTGTGACGCACTAAAAATTTTAAGAAAAGTACTGGGAAATAACTTTTGATTCAGAAATAACAAACATATTCGCATAAATTGAACCTCTACCCTATATATGTCTATGGAAATGTTGCTAAGAAATATTTCGATAATAGGCGATATTTCTAAATAACAAGGACGTTAATTACCCATGTATATTTCTAGATATTCTACAGCTTCCTATCCCTGAGCTGATATACTGTAATTATACTGGAGATGGTATTAGGGATATGTTTATTCTTGAGAACCTACTTAAAGCAGGTCAGTGTTTTGATTGTTTTTTAAAACTTTTAATAAAACTTTCAATATTTTAAATCACCATGTTAAGGTTAGCTTTTTCAAAGCTTTGATATCTGTGTATCCCCCTCCTTTACCCCCCCTTCCCCACCGCCAAAAACAAAACAAAAACGGGGTAAAGAAAACTGGAAGTAGAGAACACAGGACACAGCGAGTAAAATTACGGTGATGTAGAAAACACAGGGAGTAGAGAACATATGGATTAGAGAAAACATGGAGAAGAAGTGAACAAAGTGAGTAAAGAACACAGGGAAAAGTGAACAAAGTGAGTAGAGAACACAGGGAAAAGAGAACACAGGAAAAAGTGAACAAAGTGAGTAGAGAACACAGGGAAAAGTGAACAAAGTATGTAGAGAACACAGGGAAAAGAGAACACAGGAAAAAGTGAACAAAGTGAGTAGAGAACACAGGGTAAAGAGAACACAGCGAATATAGCTAGAACACGGTGGTTAAAAAATATGTTGGAGAAAGAAACACCCTACGACCCTATGCCCCCTCTTTTACTCGATGTGAAAACACTTTATTCTAAAATCGTTTTCTTGTTTTCAGATTTTCAACCTTTCACTGATTCCTTGCGTACAAAAGAATACCTGCAGTCGTGTTTAGGTGAACATCAAGAAAATTGCAAATTTTTAAAATTTTAAAATTCATGTTTTTTTCTTCAGAATGTATAGCTCAGCTGCATGGAACTGGATTAGCTTATATGTTTAGTAGGCAAGACAAGGAAAAGGGAGAAAAAGAATCAGAAAAACCAGGTTAATCAATCACTTAATCAATCAATTAATTAATCGATTAATCAATAAATTAATCAATCAATTAATCAATCAATTAATCAATTAATCAATCAATTAATCAATCAATTATGTAATCGATTAATCAATCAATTAATCAACCAATTAATCAATCAATTAATCAATCAATCAATTAATCAATTAATCAATTAATCAATCAATCAATCAATTAATCAATTAATCAATTAATTAATCAATCAATTAATTAATCGATTAATCAATCAATTAATCAATCAATTAATCTATCAATTAATCAAACAATTAATCAATCAATTAATCAATTAATCAAACAATTAATCAATTAATCAATCAATTAATCAATCAATTAATCAATCGATTAATTAATCGATTTAACTATTTCCTTTTTCTCAAGCACTGCACTGCGTATTTAGATTTCGCCTTTGCTTATTTACATACGATATTCAGTCTTTTTTCATCTACGGTTTCTTTCATTTTTCTCCATCTTTCGATTTGCTTATTTACTTATGAAAGGAATTGAGTTTTTGTCACAAACTCTGATGTTATAATCTCTATATCTGTACAACCAAATCTCCTAGACTTTAGATATTTCATTCAAACTGTGAATTCTGATGGATAAAATAATTGAAGTTTGAAACATCAAAGGTTTACATCATCTGGTTGTAGAGATATAGGTATTAGAAAATCGGGATTTTTGGCGAAGACTCAATTCCTTTATTGAACGATAATGTCGCAGATAAACTATGTTACAGTTTTCATTTTTCAGGAATCCCGGATGCTAAATCAACTTTTCCGGCGCTTAATGAGCAGTCCCAGATACAGGTTTGTTCAAATCAAAACTAGTTAACTTTTATTTTTGTTGTTTTTGATATTCGTGTGTTCCAGGATATTCTGCAGGATAAAGAGAACAAAAAAAGCATCCGACGAAACTATCTTCCATTTCTGAAATTCTTGGAGACAAAGGAATATTTCTATTGGTAAAACTTATGATGTTTATGTGCATGGAAACAATTCTTTAATGCCGTAATTTAGAAAAATCAATATTTCAGATACCAAAAAAGTTTCAGAAAATTTTAAATCTAGTTAAGACTGCTTTGAACTTTGGGATATTCTAAATTGTCCAAAAAAATTAATTTGCTCAACTCCGTTTTAAATCTGCAATAATCTATCCTGTACATTTTTTAATGATTAAAAAGAAAAAAATGAAATATGCAGGATCCTAATCTATCAAATTTCACAACTTATCTGGCAAAAATAGATAAAAATCTTATCAAAATACTTCAGGTACAGATTTATGAATAGTAATTACACAGCGCAAAAACATTTAATTATGAATTAAGATAAAGCTTTTTTTATAAAACTGGAACCATCGCGCCAATTTTTCTATTAAATTATCAATTTTCTATTACTTTCAAAAAAGACGAATGGAAAATACAAAGACAATTTTTTTAGACCAAATCTTTTTCAGAGAGCTGGAAAATGCGGAACGGAAAATCTAGGGAAGCTTTAAAATTACTTTGAAAACTGGAATTCAAATGAATACTTTTTTTCAGAACAGGCAAACTTTGCAAAATTTATTTTATTTTTAAACCTTTCGCTCCAAGTGAGAAATGCATTGTGGTGTTTAGAAATGAGGAAAATCAGTTTTTGGCTCTGGATTCTTTTTGTGCTTGGAACGCCACTATTGGAAATTTTTAACAACCTTCTCTAGGCAAAAATGATAATATTTGTTTTCATGTTTTTACATAACGCAAGTAGAGAACAAATGTATCATTTACTCTCATATGCGCCCTCGGGTTTATCATTGAATCCCTTGGGGGTTTAATTTTCCATTGATTCTAACTTGTCTGAGAGTAAATGACATTCCTTCGTAAAATTAAATAAATTAAAATTAAATTATTAAATCGATTAAAAGGGGCGGGATTAAATAAAAATTGTTGCATACCAAAAACCCAGCTTTTTATCTAGGAATGAAAAATTTTGAATCTTTGGTTGTTGCCATAGAGAATAGAATATATAGAGAGGAATTTACTAGAAAAAAGTGTAAAACGGCCATTTTGTTTTACTGTTTCCATACTGCAGGTGTACTTCACATATTTATGCTTTATAACCTGTTGTGCCCTGGAATATAATTTTATAGAAAATCTAAAATTATTGTTAAAAGAAAACCAAATTATGAAATAGGCTGGTTTCATAATTGACCAATGATCATTTCACATAGACTCTATGCCTTCCACTTTGCGAACGATTATTTTCCGTTATAACTATAAATCAAATGATGTTTTTATTCACCTTATTCATTATAAAGTTTATTTAACAGTTTAAAATTCGAAATCGAAATGGATAGTCTAGGGAACATATTGTAATAATGTACTCTACTGCATATAATTTGTGAACATTTACATGATTTGTACACTTTGAACTTCCTTTCAGACAGAAAGGGACTGAAAAAATTCATACCGAGAGATTCTTTTTATTCCTCTCTATATATTCTATTCTTGTTGCTCTCTGTTTTCTATCAAGCATATCTTAAATAGTCCTGTACAGTTTACAGTATACATTAACCTAGGACATTAACCGTTTAACACTTCTGTTTACAGTATACATTAACCTAGGACATTAACCGTTTAACACTTCTGTTTACAGTAACCCTTTGCCATGGAGATGCTAAGCCGGATAACTTCCTTTTTAGAAGAATTGAGATAGAACTAGGTGATACAGCCAACATCTTACTTTTTAAATTCTTATTTTTTTTATCAAAATCAATCACGTTTAATGCTATATTGTTTTCTCTTTATTATTTTTGTTTTGTTTTTAGACGACTTGAGGCACACTGTTAAAGCAATTTAATCCATGAAAAAGTGGATACTAATCATATTTTTAAAAAGGGGAACACATTTTAAACACATTTTTGGATGAAAAAAAATTTAAACAGTGTTTACACAGCTGTGAAGGATTGGAAGCTATTCTAATTGACTGGCAGCAAACCTTTCTAGGTACATGGTTATTTAAACTGTGAAAGATTTATTTACTCTTAAAAGGCTCCAAAAATGCCAGATTGATAAATTACATGGTTTAATTGAATGGTTTAATATTTTGAATGGTTAAATGTTTTGAATGATTTAATGTTTTGAATGGTGTAATGTTGTAAATGTTTTAATGTTTTGAATGGTTTAATGTTTTGAATGGTTTAAAATTTTGAATGGTTTAATGTTTTGAATGTTTTAATGTTTTGAATGGTTCAAAGTTTTGAATGTTTTAATGTTTTGAATGGTTTAATGTTTTGAATGGTTTAACATTTTGAATGGTTTAATGTTTTGAATGTTTTAATGTTTTGAATGGTTTAATGTTTTGAATGGTTTAATGTTTTGAATGGTTTAATGTTTTGAATGGTTTAATGTTTGAATTGTTCAAAGTTTTGAATGTTTTAATGTTTTGAATGGTTTAATATTTTGAATGTTTTAATACTTTGAATGTTTTAATACTTTGAATGGTTTAATATTTTGAATGGTTTAACATTTTGAATGTTTTAATGTTTTGAATGGTTTGATATTTTGAATGATTTAATATTTTGAATGGTTTAATATTTTGAATAGTTTAATAATTTGAATGGTTTTATATTTTGAATGGTTTAATATTTTGAATGGTTTAATATTTTGAATGGTTTAATGTTTTGAATGGTTTAATATTTTGAATGGTTTAATATTTTGAATGGTTTAATATTTTGAATGGTTTAATATTTTGAATGTTTTAATATTTTGAATGGTTTAATGTTTAGGGAATGTTACAAATGATCTGATGTGGCTTCTTCCAACCTTTCTTGAACAAGCAGACTCTTCCCTAGAGTTTGCTCTAGATTATTACTTCATACAGGTATATGGGAGTACAGAGAGTACAGTGGGTACAGGGAGTATAAGGAGTACATGGAGTATAAGAAGTACAAGGAGTACGGGGAGTACAGGGAGTACAGGGAGTATAGGGAGTACAGGGAGTACAGGGAGTACAGGGAGTACAGGGAGAACAGGTAGCACAGGGAGTACAGGGAGTACGGGGAGTACAGAAAGTACAGGGAGTACAAAAGGTATAGGAAGTACAGGGAGTACATGGAATACATGGAATACAGGGAGTACAGGGAGCACAGGGAATACAGGGAGTATAGGGAGTACAGGGGGTACTGGGAGTACAGGGAGTATAGTTAGTACAGGGAGTACGGGGAGTTCAAGTTGTACAGGGAGTATAGCCTTATAGGTTGTATAGTGAATACAGGGAGTACAGGGAGTACAGGAAGTACAGGGAGTACAGGAGGTACAGGGAATACAGGGAGTACATGGAGTGTTAATTGCATAGGGAGTATAGGTAGTATAGGAAATAAGCGAATATAGGGAGTACAGGCCACAAGGGGTACAGGAAATTCTTTTAGGAGTACAGAGTACAGGGAGTACAGGGAGTAAAGGGAGTACAGGGAGTACTGAGAGTACAGGGATTACAGAAAGTACAGGGAGTACAGGGAGTACAGGAGGTACAGGAGTACAATGAGATCACGAAGTAGCAGTATCACAGGGAGTGCAGGGAGTTCAAGTAAAACAGGGAGTATAGGTAGTACTGGGAGCACAGGGAGCACAGGGAGTACAGGGAGTACAGAGAGTACAGAGTGTACATGGAGTAAAGGGAGTACAGGGAGTACAGATAGTACATGGAGTACAGGAGGTACAGGGTGTACAATGAGATCAGGAAGTAGCAGGATCACAGGGAGTACAGGGAGTACAGGGAGTTCAAGTAGAACAGGGAGTATAGTTAGTATAGGGAGTACGGGTAGTTCAAGTTGTACTGGGAGTATAGCCTTATAGGTTCTATAGTGAATACAGGGAGCACATGAAGTACAGGGAGTACAGGAGGTACAGGGAATACAGGGAGTACAGGGAGTACATGGAGTGCTAATTGCACAGGGAGTATAGGTAGTATAGGGAATAAGCGAATATAGGGAGTACAGGCCACAAGGGGTACAGGAAATTCTTTAAACTTCAAATTACTTTTTAATCTTTATTATTGTTCGAATTTGCTGTTTTACAAATAAAGTATCATTTTTTATTAGTTAAAAAATGTTCTTGCTTCATTTGAGAGAACTCTTGAGGATTTTAATCTCCCAGATAACTCACAAGGTAAATAGTTAAAATCTGCGGTTTCGTTTTTAAAAAAAATACATTTGTCATTTAATTTCATTTTAGAGTTTCAGAAAATTTTAAGATCAGGGTTTACGTTGGAGTTCTTCTCCTCTATTATAATCAAGTAAGAAGACGATTAAACCTATTCACCAGAAGTCAGAAATTTTGTATATTCAATCCCTTATTGAAGTCTTAAATTGAAGTCACATTTTTTATTAAGAATCCTGAATTTTTTACCATGACATCAGTTAAAGAAAACTAAAGAAAACAGAGCTGGGAACTTTAGAATGGTGGATATTGAGATTAGTGCTTGATCCTCTATTTTTCTTAATATCAAGACTAACCTAATCTTGTACTTGTATCCTGAAAAGTGTATAAAATTCAACCAATCAGACTCGCGTATGAAGCCGATAATTTTAAAATTTTGCGCGCCATTTAAGATTAATATACAGAAACGGAAGGGACTCTCTTATTTTAAAAACCGGTTTTTGATTTTTCTCAACTATATCCAAGAAAGAACGGTTTAAGAAGAAAATCAAAAGTGTATCCATTGGATACTCAGATTAAGTAATTGTGATTAAGGATATCTCATTCTAAAGTTTTCAGCTCAGATCCCTCCCAGTCCCATCTAAGGAAGTCAGGGATAATTAGATACAGTACAGACATGTTTTTCATAAATAAAAGCCATTCTAATGTAAAACCATATTTTTTTTGGTTTAAATTTAATCTTTGAAAGCAACAGCAACAAGATGAGCTAAAAATTTTAATATAAACAGTGGTTGGCGATTATATAAATACAATGAAGACGAACCTTTATTAACAATATTTGATCCCTAACAAGCATTTTCAAATTATAATTTTACAAGTAAACAAAGAGAAGCTATTAATTAACAACTTCTCCATGTTTCCATATGTTTATGTACCTCGTCTGATAGAATAATTGGTAGAAATTAAAATTGAAATAGAAGGTCGTTTTCACTGTATTGATATAAACGATGACGACTTAACCTAATTTTCAAATGAGGTAATGACACATTAATGAAAAAATTTTGCAGCCCCATCTTGAAAATGGCGGACCCAGCTGGACTCAGACGCTGGCATCGGAAAGTATTGCGACACGAGGATCGTTTTAAAAATGGCGCTAAAACACGGGCTCCAGCTGATCCAGACACGGACAATATTCTACACAGTCCACAGTTTGGGAAGTTTGCTAATCTTTATTGCAAGGTATTTATTAATAAACTCGAATACAACAGAATGTTTGGCTAACTGTAAGGAAGTGACAAACCTTTCTATATATATACTTTGCTTGTCTGTTTGTGTCCAATAAACGTCAAAACGGCTGAACCGATCGGGTCCTAATTTGTCTTGGGGTCTCACGTAACCCCAGGGCCCAGGAAAGATTTAAAGATGATCGAACGAATTTTAAAAATTTGCCTCTAACAAAATTCGTTTTTTAAAAAAAGATACGTCCAGAAATGTCTTAGTTTAAAACTCTACCTTGTTGTAACTTGTAAAACAAATACAGATCATATTTTTGTCTAATCTTTCGGCACTTTCGTTTTGTAATTTGAATAAAAACTTTGCTAAAAAATATCAATAATAATTGAATACGTTTAAATATTCTGAGATACTATTCTTATTTCCAATTCCGAAGCATTAAATGTCATTTTTCTAAATTATCATATTTACTACCATCAATACAATGAAGACGACTTTCTTCTTCAATTTTGATTTCTATACCATCAATTTCAAACAGCAGAGACACATATCTGTATTCACATAACAACAATGTAAACAAAGAGAAGTTGAGAATTCTGAGAAATATGAAGACATTTTATTTAAGTTTTTTTTTTATATTCCAATGAACAGCTAAAATAACAATTGTTCACATAACATATTGCTTTATATATTCCAGTATTTTGGGTCTCATACTGACACTGTATAATTTATATTCAGGTGGCGCATATTCTCGGTGTATTATACTGTATAGTTTATATTCAGGTGGCGCATATTCTCAGTGTATTATACTGTATAGTTTTGTTCAGGTGGCGCATATTCTCGGTGTATTATACTGTATAGTTTATATTCAGGTGGCGCATATTCTCGGTGTATTATACTGTATAGTTTATATTCAGGTGGCGCATATTCTCGGTGTATTATACTGTATAGTTTATATTCAGGTGGCGCATATTCTCGGTGTATTATACTGTATAGTTTATATTCAGGTGGCGCATATTCTCGGTGTATTATACTGTATAGTTTATATTTATGTGGCGCATATTCTCGGTGTATTATAATGTATAGTTTATATTTAGGTGGCGCATATTCTCGGTGTATTTCCACAAATTGGAATCATAAATGTTGAAATTGTCAAGGAAAACATGTTCAGGTAAAGGATATTTTACAATTTAGAGAACAGAATTTGAAAAAAGAGGATCAATAATATAAAAGGCAAGGGCGTATTAAGGGGGGGGGCATGGGGGGCAGTGCCCCCCCCTAGACTTGTAAAGGGGGGGGCGTAGCCCCCCCCTAGAATTCTGCAAGCCTTTCACACTTTTCAAATCTTAACTGAAGAGTGAAGAACACAAAAAAAATAAGTTTGCTTTTCATGATTATTATAAAAAATCAAAATTTTAAAATATATATAATTACAGTGCAGTGCTCATGCTGTAACCAAGTTAACCTAACCAACCTAACCTAATTTTAACTTTTAAGTTCACAGAGTACACAGAGTTTAGTTGGGTTCAGAGAACACACAGTCTGCATACATTTGTACAGCTCACACACTTTACATTATATGCTAGTCTTGTTTAGTAGTGATGTGAGTCTGTTAAAAGTTGCCGTTGTGACTGGTATCTGTGAATTGCTGATTAATAATTATCATGAATCAAATACTGTTATTTATAAGCCTTGAGTTATCATTCATTCTTAGATTGCAGCAATTGTACTCCTACTTTTTTTCACAACAGAAACTTTTACAAGTCATAATTATTTTCTGGACCTTTGTACTTCTTTTCATCTCATAGAATTTAAGTTTAAGTTAAGTTTTTATTTTCAAAAATGTCTTTTACTATCTCTAGTTTAAATACTAAATATACCTATAAAAGTATAATAAAATGTCGATTTTTTAGAAATAATGCTTAGAAGGTAATTATTTGGACTGTATGTGTGCCTTTTAAGTATCTTATACTTATGCCTGATATCCAAGAAGCCAAGTGTTATGAATTTACAGTTCGAATTTTGCCCCCCCCTAGGAGCTCCTAGGGGGGGGCAAAAATATTTTTTGCGCTTCGCGCAAATCTTGCCCCCCCTACATTTATTTCTGTATACGCCCTTGATAAAAGGTTATTATTGTGATACAAATCTATAACATTTGGTACGTTTTTGGAAAGCCTTTGGACTCTACTTTAATAATCTGCAAAAAAAATGGCAAATTTGCAAAAATCCAAATATTTATTGCAAAATCTAGTTACTTAGCAAAAGATGTGCAAACAAATTGCGCAAATTGCAACCAATTATACATTTTTGAAAATGTGCAGCAAAATTAGCAAAAATTTTAAAACCCAATTGTGTATTCAAGAAAAACTGAAAATGTGCAAATTCCATTTAAAGGCGTCTGTGCAAAAATATGTGTAAAATTTCTTTGCAAAATTTGTGCAATCTGGTTGCTTTTGTTAAAGGCTTTCCAAAAAGCTATAAAATGTTGAAATCCAATGACTGAAAGAGGGTTAAAAAATAAATTTAGTCTGGTATAGGTAAAATAAGGCATTAAGGCAGTATGCCTGAGAACTCAGGCAGGAGGTATAAAAGCCCAGATTTTAGTCTTAAGTGATAGGCATGCGTTTGTTAGAAAAGTGAGAAAATTTGAGCTTCCTAGCTCAAATACTTCCGAGTTATCGCGAAAAAATCGATAGGGGGGGGGGTCAAATTGACGCCCCCCCCATGGTATATTGGGACTTATTAAAACCCGATTGTATTCAGCAGCAAATTTCAGTTGGCGCTAAAAACAGTCTGAACTCAACATTGCGCACATCAGAATTTACAGCTGAATAGGAGCGGGTTTCAATACGTTTACGCACACCACATATAGGGTTGCACACAAAGGATGAGAATGTAAAAACGATCGAAATTCCATGGTTGAATTAGAGTTTCTGTTTAGAAGATTTTAATGACTTTTTACGTGATTTGAAAAAAAGAAAGAAGTTTCCATCTGCACTCTGCAGGGAACCATGAACAGATAGTATAAAATCCGTAGAGTCATCTCTGAAGTCTCATTCTTTGCGGGTAACCCTGTATCTCTTTACTCGATGAACACTAAGGTTTTCAGGTTCATTGTAAATAGGGCGTTGTCCTCTTTACATGGAGGGTCACTTGAATTTACAATAACAGTCCCTTTAATGTATTTAGAGATGAAGGAGAGAAGGATGAAGAGGAAGATAATGAAGATGTTTATGATGATGAGGAAGCTGAATTATCTGAAGAAGAGGAAGAAAAAGAAAAACAAGTTGAAAACACTTCAGTATTTTCTAGATTATACTCCTGGGTCATTGGATTACTGGGCCTTTGTAATAAAAAGAATTAATAAAATGTTAAAATACTCTCAGGTTTGGTTTACTTTTAGTCATTACCATCTTTTAATAAAAAAGAACACGACAGTAGCAAGAATACTTGAAAGTCGTTTTTGAACTTTTACATTTTTGCCAACCTACTTTCACATACAACTACTATTCTTGATATTTGAAACAACCACAAAATTCTCCTATACCTGGCTTTTTTCAAAATATGTAATTCGCCATTTTTGCACCGTGAATATTACTGGAGATAATAATAATGTCGTTTAGATTTCAATTTCCTTAATAACAAAAATTGTCCAAATCTTAATTCTTCAGATCTCCGGTAATATTGAAAGCACTAAAAAGAAGTCTCTTTATCCAATGAAAATGTCTGTGCAGAAATTCATCAGAATGTAGAAAAGCTGACAAACCAACAGACTTTTTTACAACAATTTTACAACACTCAATTAAGAATATACAACACTCAATTAAGAATATACAACACTTAATTAAGAATATTTGACACTCAATTAAGAATATACAGCACTCAATTAAGAATATGGAGAGCATTTTTTTTCAATTTACATTTTTTATCTTTCAGTTTTTTCTCATACAAAAACAGAAGAACCAACATCTAAACTTAAAATATTTATTTTATAACATAAAACTATAAATGCAAAGATATATATTTTTATCTCATAAAACATTAGATTCCATATTGTTAGTTCTAGCTGCTGGTTTATCCCATCATACAGTTTCTAAAACATTACATGTAAACAATTCATGTAAACAATACATGTAAACAATACATGTAAACATTACAATACAGTGTACAACCAACACCAAATAAAATTGGGAAATATGATTCTCAAAATAATACATTCCCGTGAAGAGAAAAGGATTTGGTTAGCCAGGCTTACGCCAATTTCCCTGTAAGCAGCTTAGTGACAAGGGATTGCAAGAAAATGTTTACCATTGTATACTGCATAAAGATATATATATAGAATATATATAAAATATATATAAAAATATATATAAGTATATACAGAATATTTATAAAATATATATAAGAATATATATAAGTATATACAAGAATATTCATAAAATATGTATAAGAATATAAACAAAATTGAAGATCAAATAAAGGAAAAAAATCGAAATCAATAAGAATAACGCCAACTTAAAGTCATAGCGATTAAGATTTATCGAAAAGAAGGATTTACAGGGATCACCTGAAAACTCTGGAATAGGAATTCGACCTTTAAACTCAATTTATGACTTTTAATAGCACATTGAACATGAGGCAATGCAATGGTTCAATGTAAATAGACACATTTAACTTAATAAGTAATCTAATAACTTTCAAGTAATGCTATTTGCTTTAAACAAGAGCAAATGCACTTAAAGAAATGCTATAATGTAGTCTTCCTATTCCACAGTTTTCTGGTTATGACTGTAGTAAGATTAAGATTGAAGTTTTAAACGAAAGTCTGAAAATTGAAAAAAAATTTAGGATCATAATGGAACAACGGTATCTACGATGAATACAATTTTGACCAAACTAGCCCTGAGAAGCAAAACCATTGTTGACATTACTCCCAGAAACTGCAGAACACTTTTTCCTGACTTTCTTCATTCCATGAAAGAGATATCTAAGGAGTTTTACCTCTCCAAGGTTCCAGGTCAATATCCGGGATAGATGTACAGTCTACCAGGTCCAAGTTCTCCTTGTACACAAACACATCACGGGGCACAGACCTGTACATTTTTTCCATTTTCAAAAAATATTATAAGTAATTTAGTCGATAAACAGATTAGACAGATAGAGGCGCGGATACAGGGGGGGGGGGTCGGAGCAGTGAAGGGGGGAAACAATTGCTACCCCTACTTGGTACCAAAGTTTAACCCTGAGAAAAATATATGCAAAAAACCAGCGAAAAACGAACAAACGGAAAGCACATCACTAAATATAAGTCGGCACAACTTCCGCTCTTTTATTGTGCAGATATTTGTTCATCAAGTTCTTGGTAATGGTGATTTAGTTATGCAAGTTATTTTTGCACTGTAACAATATTCTATTCCTTGACCTGATATTATCTCCATTGTCGCAAAGCATCTTCCCAAAACTAATCTTCATTAGCTGATTGAGCTGATCAGATGTAAACTGTTGATTCTCAAACCAGAACCTATGTGGAGAACAATTGTGCAGTTTTAAAAGATCCAACTAGAACTTTTTCAAATAAAGACATAAGAACCTTTCAATATATGGACTAAGAACCTTTTCAATATATGGACTAGGAACCTTTTCAATATATAGACTAGGAACCTTTTCAATATATGGACTAGGAACCTTTTCAATATATAGACTAGGAACCTTTTCAATATATGGACTAGGAACTTTTTCAATATATAGACTAGGAACCTTTTCAATATATAGACTAGGAACCTTTTCAATATATAGACTAGGAACCTTTTCAACTATGGACTAGGAACCTTTTCAAATATGGACCAAGAACCTTTTCAAATATAAACTAGGAACCTTTCAACCATAGACTAGAAGTCTTGTCAAATATGGACCAAGAACCTTTTCAAATATGGACTAGGAACCTTTTTAAATATGGACTAGGAACCTTTTAAATATGGACTAGGAACTTTTTCAAATATGGACCAGGAACCTTTTCAAATATAGACTAGGAAAGGAACCTTTTCAAATATAGACTAGGAACCTTTTCAAATATAGACTAGGAACCTTTTCAAATATAGACTAGAAGCCTTATCAAATATGGACAGAGAACCTTTTCAAATATGGACAAAGAACCTTTTCAAATATGGACAAAGAACCATTTCAAATATATACTAGAAACCTTTTCAAATTTTCAAAAACCACGAAAATGTTATGTTCTTAGCTTGGTTTAAAAATTTAAGTTGCATGGGTCGACTTTTATAGACAAGCCTAGTTTTAGGGAAAAGCTGAGTTTCCATGCTAGTATACGAATAAGATATTTAACAACATTTAAGAGATAATTTTTTTCGAGAAACAGCGCATAGCGCCATGGACGCCTAGCGATGTTCATAATTATTAATAAATTCCACCTTTAAATTGGCTGATAGACGTTTATTTCTTTATACATATGTTAATATCTTAAATCATTCCACCTCTAAATTAAAATAATAAAATAATTAATGGCTTCACCTGTCCCCTTCACGTAATCTTCGGAAACTTTCAACTATAAAAAACCTTTGAAATTCAGATTCATAAATTACTAAACAAAAAAATATAAATCCAAAAAATGAAAAATGAAAGAAAAACTCAGTTTTAAAGTTTTGTTCCTTGAAGGCAGAGAAATGTTGGTCCTAGCCTTGTTCCTTCCAACAGCTTCTAAAATAAAACAGCTCAGCTTTTAAAACCAGCTTATAAAAACAGCTTCTAAACACAGCTTATAAAGTAGCCTCTAAAAATAGCTCCATCAGCTTTTGAAAAACAGTTTCAAAAAAAAATGATTTTGAAAACCAGCTTGAAAAACAGCTTTTACAACAGCTTCTTAAAAACATGTTTTGAAACAAGAATTCTTAAAAAACAGCTTTAAGGTTTAACAGCTTATAAGTTATAACAGCAAGCTAAAACACATCTTAAAAAAATAGTTTTAAAGTAAACAGCTAATATAAAATATAAATTATATAAAAAGACTCCGATTAAAAACTCATTAATTTATTTTACCTCTGAAAATCCTCCAACAACCAGATCTATGTTTGCAGGTGTACTGTACAGATGACGTAGTTCTCCTAGTATACGCTCGTCCTGAAAATTATATTCAATTTAAGACAAAGGAATAGAGTCTTTGCCACAAACTCTGATTTTCTAATTCCTATATCTTTGCAATCCAATGTCGTAGACCTTAAATATGATTTCTGTTAGACCAAATAATCTAAGTAGGAAAGATTACATGATTAGGTATTAAAGATATAGAATATTTTACGGACAGTGTATGTACAAGATGATTTAAGAAAAAAAGACCCCCCCCCCCAAGCCAAACTGGAGTAACCTATGAAATGACGAGAATAAAGTGAAATCGTTAGCATTACCACAAATTATTTAAATCTCTCTAACCCAAAATATTGCCTTGAAGTATAATTCATTCTGAATTTCTTTCCCGTGGTTTTGAGGTTTGCTCTCTTTTCAGCCAAGGGGGTTAATTTAAGCATTTATTCTTTATTCAATAAATTGTACAAAGTCAGCGTAAATTTGTAAAGTTTTGTAATGACTAATTTCCCTGAATCTCAGCATAAGCAGAGTAATCTATAAATAAACTTTGCTTGTCTGTTTGTTTGTATCCAATAAACGTCATAACAACCAATCCGATCGGGTCCCACATTTTTTATGCAACTCTTGAGATCATAAGGAAGGTTTATAAATGATCAAATAACAACAATTTGTCTCCAAAAAATCGATTTTTTTTTAAATTGTGAAAAGCCACGAAATATATAATCAAATCCACGAACTTTTTGTTATTGTTTTATATAATGTACACAGAGATGATCCACACAAAAAGAGCCAAAATTATAGGATGTAAAAGAAGATGCGCCCTAAAAGCCAAGTACTTCTAAAACTACCTGGATCAAGGGCCATAGATCCCTCCAGGTTTTAATATTTGCAATACCACAGAACTTGAGGAAATCAACATAGGGCGGTATACCATGATCCCGTCCTCGCTGAATATTAGAGGCTGCGAGGTCACTACCGTGAACTTTTTCCATCTAAACATGACTAGGTTTAAAAAATTAAATAGTTTATATAATTTCTGAAGTTTTCAGTTCGATTCTTTCGGGTTCAGTATAATCCTTAGTTTTCAAGGACACTTTTCAATTTTGCTCCCTGCGTTCTATTTTTTTCTTCATAAAAATGATTTTATCGAAAAGTATAATCTTAAGAAAATATTTCAGCCAAGTTTTAATTAATAATGTTATTTATAATTGATAATAGCCACACAAATTAAAATGAAAATTATATTACTCAACCTTGAATAGATTATCTACAATCTCTCTGCTGTAGGAGTCCCTGGGATCAATCATCTAAACATCATTTTATCTCATTTTCGATCTCATTTTCTAACGAACTAAATTTTTATTATTACTATAGTTTAGGGCATCAGAAATTTCGCCATTTTGCAAAAATTATCGTTTCGCGAGTTTTTCGATATAAAAAATAAAAATTGATTCTAGAAACTTGGAAAAAACTGGACCTTGTTCCTAGTTGAGATCATTCCCATTAATAGTGAATCTATTCCCTTTTCTAGAATTAGATTCGGGTTCAACATGGAATCACTGAAGGGAATTGTCTCTAAAACATGCAAGGATAAGTTACTAAATATATCAACTATTTTCAACATTATTCAAATCAACACTAAATCTGTTAATAAGTGAAATATAATGAAATGTCCTGTCTGAGACCTAAGACATGCCTTGGCTAAGACATGCCTTGGCTAAGACATGCCTTGACTAAGACATGCCTTGGCTATGTCTTGTCTTGGCTATGAAAATGTCTTGGCTGTGAAATGTCTTGGCTATGAAATGTCTTGGCTATAGAAATGTCTTGTCTATAAAATGTTCTTTCGACGACTACGAGACTAGGAAAGACCTGTTTAAGAAATGTCATGTCTACAAAATGTCCTATGGATTAAATCTCTTGTCTATGAAATTATAATGTCCAACACCTTAAACACAGGTTTCATATTATAATTCTTTCCCATCCTGACTTCGTATTTAGATTGAGGGGAAGGGGGGGGGGGAGGTTATCTCTACCTGGTTTCATTTTATAATCCTTTAAGAAGTTGACAACATCATCTATAGAAGGATGGGGCGCTCTAAAAAATTCATTATTATTCTATTTTCAGGAATAAAAAACGACCCCTGCCCCTCCCACTACCTCCTCTTACCCTCCCCCCTCACCCTTGAGAAAAAGATTTGGGAGAAAAATGGGTAAATGCTATGAATATTTATAATATGCCCATGCTATAAATAATTATAAAACATGTTCCAACCTGAGTGCTTAAGATACAAATGCTATGAATTTTATAAAAAACAACCTGAAGGCTGAAGATACAAATGCTATGAATTTTATAAAAAACATGTACCAACCTGAAGGCTGAAGATACAAATGCTATAAATTTTATAAAAAACATGTTCCAACCTGAATGCTTAAGATACAAATGCTATGAATTTTATAAAAAACCTGTACCAACCTGAATTCTTAAGATACAAATGCTATGAATTTTTATACCAACCTGAATGCTTAAGATACAAAAGCTATAAATTTTATAAAATACATGTACCAACCTGAAGGCTGAAGATACAAATGAGTTTGAAAGAGAAGGATTAATATTAGGATTATATCCCCTGTATTTACCCAACATCTTCATACCAACAGATCCTGGTAAATAAAAACGAAATATCAATAATAGAAGTCATTTAAAAACATTACGGATTTCTCGCATCAAAATATAATATTTTATTCTTTGCAATCTGATGATATTTAATCTAACAGAATTCAAAGATCGAAATTTAAAAGCTCAACGAAATGTAAAAAGAATGTAAAATTATATTTTGAGGAGAGTAATCAATTACTTCCAGTGTCATCGATATTATATAAGTAACATGCCTGCCTGATTCACAACAGTTCCCTTTCAGCATTTAAGTTCTCAATGATCCAGAATCGTTTTTCTAGCTAAAGTTTTAAAAGCTAATAATTTCCTCCATTGTTTCAAAAGCAGCATTTGCAAGAAAACTACAGAAAATGAAAGAATATCTTTTAAGGGTGTCGTTAACGCACATGTTAATCTAGCGTAATTAAACGCAACAATACGGAAAACTATCACCTAATTGTGTTAGTAAGTACTCTCTTTCATGAATAATCACCTAATTTTGTGTGTAAATACTCTCTATAATGAATAATCACCTAATTGTGTTGGTAAATACTCTCTATAATGAATAATCACCTAGTTGTGTTGGTAAGTAGTCTCTATCATGAATAATCACCTAATTGTGTCGGTAAGTAGTCTCTATAATGAATAATCACCTAGTTGTGTTGGTAAATACTCTCTATCATTAATAATCACCTAGTTGTGCTGGTAAATACTCTCTATCATGAATAATCACCTAGCTGTGCTGGTAAATACTCTCTATCATGAATAATCACCTAATTGTGTCGGTAAGTAGTCTCTATAATGAATAATCACCTAGTTGTGTTGGTAAGTACTCTCTATAATGAATAATCACCTAGTTGTGTTGGTAAGTACACTCTATAATGCATAATCACCTAGTTGTGTTGGTAAGTAGTCTCTATAATGAATAATCACCTAGTTGTGTTGGTAAATACTCTCTATAATGAATAATCACCTAATTGTGTCGGTAAGTAGTCTCTATAATGAATAATCACCTAATTGTGTTGGTAAGTAGTCTCTATAATGAATAATCACCTAATTGTGTTGGTAAGTACTCTCTATAATGAATAATCACCTAATTGTGCAGGTACATACTCTCTATAATGAATAATCACCTAATTGTGTTGGTAAGTAGTCTCTATAATGAATAATCACCTAATTGTGTGGGTAAGTAGTCTCTATAATAAATAATCACCTAATTGTGTTGGTAAGTAGTCTCTATAATGAATAATCACCTAATTGTGCTGGTAAGTACTCTCTATAATGAATAATCACCTGGTTGTGCTGGTGAGTAGTCTCTATAATGAATAATCACCTAATTGTGTTGGTATGTAGTCTCTATGATGAATAATCACTTAATTGTGTGGGTAAGTACTCTCTATAATGAATAATCACCTAATTGTGTGGGTAAGTAGTCTCTATAATGAATAATCTGATTGAAGGCGCCAATAATCTTCCTCGCTTCATAGAACAGAGTTCCTGCTTTCCAGTGTGGGTTTATTTTCCTGAAAGCAGTACTTAAAATCCAAGCTTTAAATTTAAAGTAAAAAATATAAAGAAATAAATAACAAACGAAATTTTCAACATTTCAGTATATTTAGAGGAAGTTGGCTTGAGTATGAGATGTAGTAAAGAAAAAACTCTTGATTTATCAATTTAGATGCCTTGAAGGGAGGGATATATCCTGGTATACCTGAGACAATGAACCAGACGGTTGTGTTCTCTCATATGAATGACATGTATTGAAGGGATGAATATATCCTGGTATACCTAAGACTATGAACCAGACGGTTGTGTTCTCTCATATGAATGACATGTATTGAAAGGATATATCCTGGTATACCTGAGACTATGAACCAGACGGTTGTGTTCTCTCATATGAATGACATATATTGCATGTAAGGGATATATCCTGGTATACCTGAGACTATGAACCAGACGGTTGTGTTCTCTCATATGAATGACATGTATTGATGGGATATACCCTGTTATACCTGAGACTATGAACCAGAGGGTTGTGTTCTCTCATATGAATGACATGTATTGAAGGGATATATCCTGGTATACCTGAGACTATGAACCAGACGGTTGTGTTCTCTCATATGAATGACATGAATTGAAGTAAGGGATATATGTTGGTTTACTCGTTCATCTCCAGCCACAAAACATTTATGAGGTACACTGCGCTGCCTGAATACAATTAATGGTTTAAAATATTGGATTATTTGGAAAAATTTGCACTGCCAAAACAAAACAGAAGTTTTTTTGTTCGGAAATGTATCATAATCAACGAGGGCATTAATTTCCTTAGTTTTGTTCAGTGGTATGATCAAAAAAAAAAAATTAAGAAGATTCCTTAAAAAGGGCCAAACTTAAAAAAAGGGAAAAAAAACCTCATGCTGAGGCAACAGAACATATTGCTGTTTGAAATTCGAATCACAAAATTACTTTCAAAATCCGTCATCCCTATCAAATCAAATGTATCCGCTTACAAGCATAAAGCTGGAACTCCTGTGTCTGTTGTAGGTAAAAGTGGTTTCCCACCAAAATTAGAAGGTTCTCCTGTCGCTAATTCTCCAGTAGATAAATCCATTAATAAGCTAGAAACTTCTTTGCTAACTCCATACACCTAATCAATCAATCAATATAAAAATTCTAAAACTGAAGGGAGTTTTTGCAAAAAATGAAAGGGGGTATAGGCTTATGTCGAAAAATTATCGATGGTGATCGCCACTTATAGTACTTCTATCTGTTGCCTTTTTAAGGAGAAAAGGAGAAAAAGACTCATACAGAATAACATAGCGTTCATACAAATTCAGAAAGTTGCAACATTCGACTCGGATTGTAAAAAATCAATAATATCCCAACAAATCATTCAGAAATTATAACCTACTATCATCGATAAATTTTCGACGTATTTGGACAAAGTTAATATTTAATAATATCTTTTACTTGTTTGGCTTGGTTTTTGGTTCAATTATTTTCGTGAAAATATGCAATATTTCGCGAAAAAAAATTCGAAATGCAACCAAAAATTTTCGCATTTTTTCGCGAAAAGTTTTGTTCACTGGAAACCCTAGATCGGACACACAAACAGAGGTTACTCCCCTGAGATCTCTAAGAGCAAGTAAAGAATCTAACAAGAGATCTCTAAGGTAAGGTAAAAAAAACTAACCTGAGATCTCAAAAGGAAGGTTAAGAAACTAATCTGAAATCCCTATGAGAAGGTAAAGAAACTAACCTGAGATCTATAAATTAAGGTGTAGAAACTAACATGAAATCTCTATGAGAAAAAGAAACTAACCTAAAACCTCTATGAGAAGATAAAGAAACCAACCTGAAATCGCTATGAGAAGATAACGAAACTAACATGAAAACTCTGAGAAGATAAAGAAACTAACTAGTTTTCAAACAGTTTTTGCCGATTTGTCATGATAAACTTTTAAGAAATCCAGCATATTGTTTTTTTCTCTCTATATATTCAACAAATAAATATACATTATACAAACAATGATAAGTTTCAATTATGCAAATTGTCAGGTTACCTAATGTCGGTTACAAAATTGTTGGTTACGAAATTGTCAGATTACCAAATTGTAGGTTACCAAATTGTTAGTCACCAAATTGTTGGTTACCAAATTGTCCATTACCAAATTGTCGGGTTACCAAATTGTCAGTTTACCCAATTGTTAGTTGCTAAATTTTTAGTCACCAAATTGGTAATTACAAAATGTTAGTTAGTAAATTAGTTACCAGAAATCCGCCAAGAGAAGGTAAAGAACCTAGCCTGAGATCTTAGAGAATGTAAAGAAACTAAACCGATACCTCTAAAAGAAGGTAAAGAAACTAACCTGAAAAAGATAAAGACACTAACCTATGATCTCTAAGAGAAGGTAAAAAACCTAGCCTAAGTTCTAAGAGAAAAATAAAGAAAATAACCTGAGATCTCCGAGAGATTGTAAAGATACTAACCTGAGATCTAAGAATGTTAAGATACTAACCTGAGATCTAAGAAGGTAAAGATACTAACCTGAGATCTTAGAGAAGGTAAAGAAACTAACCCGAGACCTTTAAGAGAAGGTTAAGAAACTAACCTGAGGCATCTAGAGAAGGTAAAGATACTAACCTGAGATCTAAGAATGTTAAGATACTAACCTGAGATCTAAGAGGGTAAAGATACTAACCTGAGATCTAAGAGGGTAAAGATACTAACCTGAGATCTAAGAATGTTAAGATACTAGCCTGAGATCTAAGAAGGTACAGATACTAACGTGAGATCTAAGAATGTTAAGATACTAACCTGAGATCTAAGAGGGTAAAGATAATAACCTGAGATCTAAGAGGGTGCAGATACCAACCTGAGATCTAAGAATGTTAAGATACTAACCTGAGATCTAAGAAGGTAAAGATACTAACCTAAGATCTAAGAAGGTAAAGCTACTAACCTGAGATCTAAGAGGGTAAAGATACTAACCTGAGATCTAAGAGGGTACAGATAATAACCTGAGATCTAAGAATGTTAAGATACTAACCTGAGATCTAAGAAGGTACAGATACTAACCTGAGATCTAAGAATGTTAAGATACTAATTTGAGATCTAAGAGGGTAAACCTACTAACCTGAGATCTAAGAGGGTACAGATACTAACCTGAGATCTAAGAATGTTAAGATACTAACCTGAGATCTAAGAATGTTAAGATACAAACCTGAGATCAAAGAATGTTAAGATACTAACCTGAGATCTAAGAGGCTAAAGATACTAATCTGAGATCTAAGAATGTTAAGATACTAAACTGAGATCTAAGATTGTTATGATACTAACCTGAGATCTAAGAATGTTAAGATACTAACCTGAGATCTAAGAATGTTAAGATACTAACCTGAAATCTAAGAATGTTCAGATACTAACCTGAGTGTTAAGATACTAACCTGAGATCTAAGAATGTTAAGATACTAACCTGAGATGCATCAATGTAGGAAGTCACGTCGTTGATCTGTTCACGATATTTCAGATCAGTTCCTTAATAATAAAACCAGGATCACCACTCATTTATAATGGACAAGATTTAGAGATTTATGGATCTGCAGTTTAATTAGAACCGAGCTAAAATTTTGGTTTATGTTAACCGAGCTCAACTACTGGTTTAGTTAGAACCGAGCTCAACTACAGATTTAGTTAGAACCGAGCTCAACGACAGGTTTAGTTAGAACCCAGCTAAACTACTGGTTTAGTTAGAACCTAGCTCAACTACAGGTTTAGTTAGAACCCAGCTCAACTACTGGTTTAGTTAGAACCGAGCTCAACTACTGGTTTAGTTAGAACCCAGCTCAACTACAGGTTTAGTTAGAACCCAGCTCAACTACTGGTTTAGTTAGAACCCAGCTCAACTACTGGTTTAGTTAGAACCCAGCTCAACTACTGGTTTAGTTAGAACCAAGCTCAATTACTGGTTTAGTTAGAACCGAGCTCAACTACTGGTTTAGTTAGAACCCAGCTCAACTACTGGTTTAGTTAGAACCAAGCTCAACTATTGGTTTAGTTAAAACCGAGCTCAACTACTGGTTTATTTAGAACCAAACTTAGCCACAGGTTTAGTTGGAACAGAGCTCAAATTATTAAAATTGGTAAGCCCCCCTATAACATGTAGTTGAAAAACTTCTCCCTCATTCATAAATTCTTTAATGTAGTTTTCTATACATCTTGTATTAACGTATTTACCTGAAAAACATGCAGGACTGTTCCTCCTAAAGTTAATACACCCTTCAGTAAAGCTGGGATCCTGATGAGGAACAGGGATGGGAAAACAGGGCTCAGAGAAGATACAGGAATCATTACAGGACACTCCTACCAATTTATATCTATACAACTGGGAATTAATTAAGTTTTAAGAAATTGTTGATAAAATAATTCTATGAATATTAAGTATATAATTTCCATAATAGAGTTTAAAAAGAAAAAGTCAGAAAGATTAAACATTTAAAGAACTTTATTTACCTTTAAAGCATTTTCCCCCTTAAGCATAATGAAAATAATTATATTAACAACAAATTGGGATTCTTCAGAATATATATATTGGGGTTTAATAAACCAGTTTCAGATTAGAACTAGTTTGCTTAACCATCTCAAAAACCGGTTACTTACAACTCGATTAATTTATTATTTAAATTAAGAATCCACCACAATTGAAGCCCAAACATGTAGGTACTAGGTTAACTAAGAACTAGATATTACCAGTTTCAAATGATGCTCTTGTGGTAGCTGGAGCAGAATCTATAATATCATGAGCTAACCATTGACCCCAGAACATAACTAAACTAGTTTGTGTTCTCTCGTACTGCGTCTGAACAAAGTAAGAGCATAAACAGATATATTTTAGTTTGTTGAAATATTTCAAAGAGTAGCAATTGAACTCAAGTGTTGAGTGCTATATTTTGTATCTGTTCAAACAAAAATTCATACTTTTGTAATTCCATCAGTATGAAGAAATTTCATCAGGGTAGTATTAGATCGGTTGAACGTTCTTTGGTCATTTATGACCTATCAAACACTACTCCAGGATTATTTATTGTGGCTTAGAATTTCATTTAACACCAAAATAAAGTTTTGCGGACATTTTTGATGTGCAAAAAGACTATTATTATCTGGTTTTATCAAAAGTGAGAAAGCGGTAGAAAATAACATGAATGGCGATTACTTTTTTTTCAACCTATAAAAATCCACTTTTAGGATTTCAATTGAATAGAAGATAATTTACCCTGCGAGCTCTGAGACGAATATTACTGACAAGCCTGGCACTGGGGAGAGAATATCCGTTATATAATTCATCATCAACAACACCTGCAGTTATTGATATTAAACAAGAACGAGTTTTAAGGCGACCGATATTTTTACCTATAGGTCTGCTAAATCCATCAGAGTAAATTGGTTTTATTAATCTCCGGTTGACTGTGCCCGCAGCCCCCCAGTTGGTGTTGACGAGATTGTTGCAGGAACCATTGAAAGTTCTATACTCTAGGTCCTGGTAGGAACACACAGTTGGAGCAGGCAAAACCGTACATCCGGGCAGGTCTGGAGACGGAGACCTCATTTTAACAGTTTCCTTGAAAGTATGGAACTTTAATGCCCCTCACGTACTTCTAACATGCTACATCTGAGAATTTGTAATATATGTGCTCATTTGACTGTCTTATTAGAAGTGCTAGAAACTAGTTTTATCAACACAAACTATAGTTAACAAATTGGTCGGAGCTTTTCTGAGTGGGGTAGTAAGCCCAAGCCTCACTAATAGTTGTTTATTTAGTTTAAACTAAAATTCCTGCTCAGAACTAATTTATTTAGTTTAAACCAGTTCCTGCTCAGAACTAATATATTTAGTTTAAACCTGTTCCTGCTCAGAACTAATATATTCAGTTTAAACCAGTTCCTGCTCAGAACTAATATATTCAGTTTAAACCAGTTCCTGCTCAGAACTAATATATATAGTTTAAACCAGTTCCTGCTCAGAACTAATATATTTAGTTTAAACCAGTTCCTGCTCAGAACTAATATATATAGTTTAAACCAGTTCCTGCTCAGAACTAATATATTTAGTTAAAACCTGTTCCTGCTCAGAACTAATATATTTAGTTTAAACCAGTTCCTGCTCAGAACTAATACGTCGCATTGAAATGTACACAAATCCTATACCCCCTACCGTAAGTATAAATATCTCGTATATATGTGAAAATCATATGGCATGCCCCAATCATTGATACCTTAATCGTTGAATCCTGAATTGACAGTAAGAATCCTGATGTCAAACCTTTAATATTTAAATTTCACACTGAGAGAGTTAAAGGTCACAGAAATTTTAAGAATTAACTTTAAAGGCCAGTAACCAATTATTTTTCTAAAAGTTGATGTGGCCCTCATAACACACAAATATCTTTATATAACTGAAGCTATCAATGATGTGGCCTTAATAACACACAAATATTTTTATACAACTGAAGCTATCAATGATGTGGCCCTCATAACACACAAATATTTTTATACAACTGAAGCTATCAATGATGTGACCCTCGTAACACACAAATATCTTTATACAACTGAAGCGATCAATGATGTCGCCCTCGTAACACACAAATATCTTTATATAATTTCAGCTATCAATGATGTGTCCCTCATAACACACAACTATCTTTATACAACTGTAGCTATCACTGATGTGGCCCTCGTAACACACAAATATCTTTATACAACTTAAGCTATCAATGATGTGGCCCTCGTAATACACAACTATCTTTATACACCTGAAGCGATCAATGTTGTGGCCCTCGTAACACACAAATATCTTTATATAATTTCAGCTATCAATGATGTGGCCCTCGTAACGCACAAATATCTTTATATAATTTAAGCTATCAATGATATGGCCCTTGTTACACACAAATATCTTTATATAATTTAAGCTATCAATGATATGGCCCTCGTAACACAAATATCTTTATATAACTGAAGCTATCAATGATGTGGCCCTCGTAACATACAAAAATCTTCATATAATTTAAGCTATCAATGATATGTCTCTCGTAACACACAAATATCTTTAAATAATTTAAGCTTTCTATGATATGGCCCTCGTAACACACAAATATCTTTATATAATTTAAGCTATCGATGATGTGGTCCTCGTAACACACAAATATCTTTATATAACTGAAGCTATCAATGATGTGGCCCTCGTAACATACAAATATCTTTATACAACTGAAGCTATCAATGATGTGGCCCTCCTAACACACAATTATCTTTATATAACTGAAGCTATCAATGATGTGGCCCTCGTAACACACAAATACAACTGAAGCTAACAATGATGTGGCCCTCGTAGCATACAAATATCTTAATAAAACTGAAGCTATCAATGAAATTAAAACAAAAGTTGCAGATCAGTTTAAAAGATGATTATAAAATGAGCCTTCCTTGTAAATTATTTTCATTGTATTTCACATGAGCAGCTAAATGTTCAGCTCTCAGCAAACTTCTGGCATAATAAGGAGACTCAGGTTTTAGTCCTTCTACCTAAATAAAATGACATTAGAACGTCTTCAGGCAAATTTCATTATTATAAGAACGAAAGTTTATACCTGTACCATGCACTGAATAGTCAAATAAAGGATGTAAACCTTCTGTATTTAAGCTTTTACCTGATTTTTTAGCTCATTTTTACCCGTTTTTCAGAACTTTTTTAGTTGTATTTCAGCTCATTTTACCTCACATTTTTACCTGTATTTTAGCACAATTTTAGTAGTATTTCAGTACATTTTTAGTTGTATTTCATCCCATTTTTACCTGTATTTCAGCCCATTTTTAGTTGTATTTCAGCCCATTTTTAGTTGTATTTCAGCACATTTTTACCTGTAATTCAGCACATATTTAGTTGTTTTTCAGCTCATTTTTACCTGTATTTCAGAACATATTTAGTTTTATTTCAGCTTATTTTTACCTGTATTTCAGAACATACTAAGTTGTTTTTTTGCTTATTTTACCTGTATTTCAGCACATCTTTAGTTTATTTCAGCTCATTTTTAGTTGTATTTCAGCACATTTTTAGTTGTATTTTAGCATATTTTTAGTCGTATTTTCAGCATATTTTTACGCATTTTAACTCAATTTTACCTGTATTTTAGCTGGATCCGAACTAGTTTCACCCCAAGCATTTCGTGCTACACACCTGAGAAAAATCACATTAAATATTATTTCAGTAAATTATTTCGACTTTCTTAACAGTTTTAGGGCAAGATAAATAATTAATTAAACTGCCAAAACCAAAAGGATAAGAAAATAGAAGCATTGAGAGTATTAAGAGACAATGAAGAAAAATGGGATTAGTTTCTTAGAAAATTTACAGTAAATTTTCTAAGCACTCAAATTTGAGGACAGTACAACAGAAGTATCAATAAATAAAACTATGATTGATCTTAGATTTTAAAACTAATTCCTTTAATCATGTCACGTGTTGAAATTCTAGTCCTTCAGATAATCATTGCTGACAAATTAAGATGATTTCATCCTTCAAAACAAGAGAATACCTGTAACTAGTTTGATCTGCATGTCCTATATGCTGAATCTCTAGGATTCCATATTTCTGCCTTATTCTCTGGTCTAACCGTACTACCACCCATTCACCCCTCACATCCTGCAGACAAAGGAATTCGGATCAAGATTAAATTTTATTTCCGTAAGGTTAAATCTTCTGAGATTTCTGATGGCACAAAATACCTTTTGAAAGGGAGTGTTCGCGAAAAATTAAAAAGGGTTAGGTTGATCACAATTTTGTTATCGATTGATCAGTACCAATACAAGTTCAAACTGATGCTTATATGAGTAACTGGTATGAATAATTTTTCATAGACTTAAAAAATTGAAAAATGAAAATAAATTCTGAACTGATTTAGATCTAATAGACAGTTAGGTAAAGATTATTTTCATCACACTCTTTATAAGTTTTCGTGAACAATCCCTTTAAGACCTGAAAATATATTAATTTCCACCTGTTTTATCCACTCTACAGTTGGGAAAGGCTGTCCCTGTACTTTACAGTGAAGGAACACACTCTCAGTTTCATGAACAACTTGATCTTCAGGACTAAGATAGAACTTACTAAAATATCACTAGCAAAAAAGGACGCTTACAAAAACGGCGTTATCATAAATAAAGCATACAAAAATGACCTAGAACAAAAATGCCTCCAACAAAATTGGCAAGCGCCCTAATAAATTTGCCATTTATCGGAGCGCAATTTTAAACTGAATAGTTTTTTTCTTCCACTTCCGTCATCTTATGTAAATAATCGCGTATTAAAATATATCCTGAATATTTAAGAATAAAAATGTTTTTATTATTTACCCTTTGATGATTATCGGGGGAAAATTTTCCCCAGATTTATCCTGATGGGTTGGAACACCTTCGTACAATCATTTAAACAGAAAAGTAATTATTTCAGAATAAATTTTGTAGAAATAAATAAATCATTTATTAATATATATTTGATTTCAAACGATTCCTTGAGTGCTCATAAGTAGAAAAAGAGAACATATTAACGTTGCAAACATCCTAAAAAAATAAATAAATTATCGGTACAATCATTATGTTTGCAGGAATCATGGCTTCTGGTATTAGTTACAGGTATTAACTGTTACAGGAATTATGGTTACAACATCATAGTTCCAGGAATTATTATGGTTCCAGGAATTATTTTGGTTCCAGGAATTATTATGGTTCCAGGAATTATTTCTATGCAGGAACTATGTCGACAAATTAAGCCTACAGGAATGCCGGGTACTAATCTCGCTGTTACAGCTGTAGTTAGTTTAAATAAATAAAAAAAGCAACAATTCTGACAATATTTTGACATAAATAATTTTATCTAAATGCTGAAGAACTGTTACCTCTTTTCACTTCTCAGCTTTGACCTGGAGCTATCGAGTTTAACTAAGAAGATTCTAAAGTTGACTAAGCATGTTGAGCACAAATTTACGTACTTTATGTACATGAGTATTCAGAACCTGAAGTTAAAACTTAAAACAGTTTATCGGTATGAAACCCAGTTTTGTAAAACTTGTTTTTAGATTTATTTAAATTTAAATATTTACATCAACATATTTTAGAAGAAAGGTAGATTTAGCTCCAAAAAAATCGTGACAGTAACGGTGCCAAATATGGTCAATATTTTATCATTTTATAAATACAAAACTTTCATTAATTTGCACTATTAAAAGTTTCAGACTCCAGTTAGTGAAACCTGTCATATTTTAGAGGCCGTTCCTTCCATAAACTACATTGGTCGACAACTTGACGTCTCCTATATTGGTCGTGAAATGTACGGAGAAATAGTGTTTTGTTCAAACGCGTTCTTCCATGAGTTATCAGTGTCCGAGTATTGTCCGACCATAAACACATACATATGCGACCCCTATCGACGGGAAAAAAGGGAAAGCTTATTACGAATTTGATTTGAATGCGGCAAACTATCTTAAACATAGGAAATTGTACTTTGATTTAATTTCAAATTCATAATGGATCTTAAAAACAAGACACTGCAATCAATTTATGAAACGAAATCAGAAAGCTACTTTGATTAGTGCTGCCACCTTTTCTCAAATAAATCATGGCCACAGTACGGCTAATGCACGGCTAATGATCCAGATACCGTATGGCGTGAGAAACTCTGTCCGTCCATGAATAACTCACGGGAGACATCTCGGCCAAATTATCGTCCTCCAAAGTACGTGAACTACACGTCCACTATCTATAGAAGGACCGGCCTCAGGGGCAACACAATTTACAATTTACCAAATATAATTTTAAAAAATCTCGCGATAGTTTGGCACGAGAAACTAACTACTTTATGAGCAAAGTATATTCTGTTCTGTCTAAATCTGATTCAACTTGCAGTCATCATCATATGATATTTTTGCAAAAATAGAACGAATACACGAAGGGTCAGCATTTTCATTTACCATTTTATTTTGAGGAGCACTGTATATTTCTGAGAAAAATAAATGACATGCTTAATGTTCCACCGACATTTTCTGAAATGTCCCTTTTCTTGTTTTGTGACAACAACGTACTGTAAGCAAAGAGAATAGAATATATATTAGAGGGTAATTTACTAGAAAAAAGTGTAAAACGGCCATTTTGTTGTACTGTTTCCATACTGCAGGTGTACTTCACATATTTATGCTATATAACCTTTTGGGCCCTGGAATATCATTTTATAGAAAATCTAAAATTAATATTAAAAGAAAACCAAATTATGAAATAGGCTGGTTTCCTAATTGACCAATGATCATTTCACATAGACTCTATGCCTTTCACTTTACAAACGATGATTTTCCGTTATAACTATAAATCAAATGATGTTTTTTGTTCACCTAATTCATTATAAAGTTTATTTAACAGCTTTAAAAAATTTGAAATTGAAATGGATAGTCTAGGGAACATACTGTATTAATGTACTCTACTGCACATAATTTGTGAACAATTACATGATTTGTACACTTTGAACTCCCTTTCAGGCTAAAAGGGACTGACAAAATTCATGCCGAGGGAGTTTGCTTTAGTAAATTAAACTAAGAACATTAATAATCATTAAACTATTTCGCTCCTTTAATGTCCAGGATATGTTAAAAAAATAATAATGAGAAGCTACAATAGTTACAAGAAAATTCAATTTTTCCAAAACCTAAAAAATATTCTCCCGCAAAATGCGCCAAGTTGCTATACCTAGCGATTTCTATACGTTGGGGTTTTATTGACTTCTGAAAAATTCCTCTGTATTTGTGTTCAAAATTCACTTTACAACAAAATCCTGTCAATGTACTTCCTTGGTTTTCTAGGATGTGAGTAGCACTTGCTTTATCTATGCTGTAGGGAGGATAATTTATAAAAGTTATTCCTATTTATTGAAATATAAGTGACTAGGTTGGGAACCCAGCGTGAAGCAAGGAATTCATAGTTAGTCCCACCCTTTACACGCCCCTAGTCCCACCCTTTACACGCCCCTAGTCCCACCCTTTAAACGCCCCCAGTCTCAAATTTCCAAGCAAACCAAGCTAAAAACATTCTCGTGGCTATTCCGAGTTTCCCAATCAAAATTTGAGGCAAATCGGTCTAGGGGTTTACGAGTTATGGGCAGAAAAACAGGGAGAAAACCAAACAGAGATTAGAGCTTTATACAATATAAAGATTACAAGGGGAAATTTTTTAATGATTTTGTTGAGTGTTTGTCGAATTTTTACATCCATTTTTAACGTAAAAATCTTATTTTTTATTCAAAGCTTATTTTAAAAATGTGAAGTTCCCCTTGAAAATATTTCTATGCAAAACCTGTCGATTAAGTAAGAATAGAGTCTAGGAAAGTAATTAGTGGAACAAATTACCCTTGTCCAGAGAATTATCACATCTTTAAGACCAATTTCTCATTATCTCAGAAAAGTCTTACGATACAAAAACGGCAGACCCCATTTTGGAAATCCCTAAACAAGGGGCATTTTATGATACTATCTCTTGGGATGTAATGTTATGTTTACGAGCTATTAGATTTTTTGTTGGTTTATTTACAGTATATCTATCCCAATATATCTAATCTCTATGTACTGCATGCTGTATTGCAACCTCTTGTTGGTTTTAAACTGTTTTCGAGATGGGAGGTCATAAATGCTGTTTCTATAATACTAAAGGCTTTTATAGGGTCCTTCTCTGGGGTCATTTGAGGTCCCACAATAAATTTGGGCCGGATCGGTTCAACCGTTTTGAAGTTTATTGGATACAACAGACACCCACTCACGCAATGTATATATAGATTAAGAATGAATAAAAAGAGCATATATGTATAGATTCAAAATTTTAAAATTAAATATTGATTAATAACTATGGGAAATAGCAGATAACATATTAAACTAAAAGCAAATCCTAAAAATTCCAATTATTAAAAAAATGTTCTAGCTTTTGCCCATCACAATCACAATCAAATAGCTGTGGAAGCCCCCCCCCCCCACTCTGCCTCTATTTGCACCTCCAAACTCCTGTAAAATGCAGGGTTATCTTCTATCCTTTGCTATGCGAATTTTGTTGGTTTTATCAATATGCAATTCACAGAACTGTATTCCATGGTGTACAACTAAGTGCATTTCATGGTTTTGAATTTACAATGTTGCAACGATGCATGGTGCGTAAATATAAAGATTGTGAACTTGTTTTACCGTGCAATTTTTATGATAATTCTACTGACAGTTTATAATTGTTTGAAACAAACACCTAATTATAATGTTGCTATATCACTGCCCAAAAAAAGATAGAAGTTTAACGAAAATAAAGATTATAAAGAGCTTCCTCATGATTTTTCTAAAATTATGAGAAACCCCAACTAATGTTATTGTAATTTAATTGTAGGTACTGATATACACAATTTTTTTATATTTTATTTTTTAGAAAACGTTTTTAACGGATTTCGAAAAATGTGAGTGGTGCACGGCATTCTTAGATAGTTGCGCAAGCGAGAGTAAAAATGAAATTTAAAACAAATTAGTTAAAAAACATTATAAAATATAATCTATATACAGATCTGGCGAAAGAAAATCGATGACTATAGGTTGTAATATCTGAATGATTTGTTTGAAATTAAATTGATTTTTTTAAAAGTCGTGTGTTGCAATTTTCTCAATTTGTATGGACGCTAAGTTATTCGGTATGAGACGTCTTTAACAATTTTCTCCTTATAGATGCAACAGATAGCAGTAAGATTAGTAGCGATCAGAAGCGCTTTTTTATCGCATTAAGCCTATACCCCCTTTCATTTTTCGCGAACACTCCCTTTAAATTCCAAAATACTCAACGGTAATTTCAAATTATAGAAAGAAGGAAGACGATAGTTATTTCTCTCTATACTAGTTACCACCAGATAATACAACAATTTAAGAGATGTTCTGTTAAGATGAATTATGAATGACTAACAACCAGTAGTAAGAACAATATGAGTTTTTTGGGGAGCTCACATACGGATATATATTTTATACTTTAGAAGTATATTTGTTGCTTCTAGATTCAAAAAACATAATGAATTATAAGGATATAAAAGGAGAGGAAGATGAGAAGGTCTTCTCTAGTTCTAGGCTCCGACGCTACATACTTGTGGATTTTATAATCCTCTTTAGGGGATTTCATCCTCTACAATTTAATGTTTTCAGATTTTGGATTGGTGCCCAATAAAACATCAACATTGCGAAAAAGGAATTGAGCCTTTGCCACAAACTCTGATTTTCTAATCAAATCTTTTCTAATCTTTGCTACCCAATGTCGTAGACTTTAGATTATTCAAACTATGTAATCCGATAGATAGATAAAATAATCTTAGTTTGAAATATCAAAGGTTTGCATTATCAGGTTGTAATGATATAGGGATTAGAAAATTTGACTTTGTGGCAAGAACTCAATTCCTTAGGCAATGCTATTCTCAATTCTTAATTATATATTCTCTAATCTCTATTCTCCATTCTCTGTTCCTTATTTTCTATTCTCTATTCTCTAATCTCTATTCTCTATTCTCTATTCTCTATTCTCTATTCTCTATTTTCTATTTTCTATTCTCTATTCTCTATTCTCTATTCTCTATTCTCTATTCTCTATTCTCTATTCTCTATTCTCTATTCTCTATTCTCTATTCTCTATTCTGTATTCTGTATTCTCTATTCTCTATTCTCTATTCTCTATTCTCTATTCTATATTCTCTATTCTCTATTCTCTATTCTCTATTCTCTATTCTCTATTCTCTATTCTCTCTTCTCTATTCTCTATTCTCTATTCTCTTTTCTCTATTCTCTATTCTCTATTCTCTATTCTCTATTCTCTATTTTCTATTCTCTATTCTCTATTCTCTATTCTCTACTCTCTATTCTCTATTCTCTATTCTCTATTCTCTATTCTCTATTCTCTATTCTCTATTCTCTATTCTTTATTCTCTATTCTCTATTCTATGTTCCTAAAAATATCAGTTTAGTTTGTCATTATTGTAAAGGTTGTTTTGCTTACTGTTCATTGTAAAGGTGAGTAGTTACTTTTAACACAGTAAATCCCAACAAACATGATTCTTGTTTTAATGTTCAAAATGTTAGTAGATATAATTGATGATATTATTTAATCCGTACTTCACCTGTGGCAGTGCAGTATACTGGTCACGTGATTTCCGTATGTACCAAGTGACAACGATACTGCACTTTCATTGGCTGAAGTTATTGTGACATAATACGGACTATACGGACTATATGTATTAATATTATCAACAGTATCTATTCAAATGCTAAATCAAAATAAAAAAATTATAATAAGAGCAAACTTGAGATTCTCAGACTCCTGTGTGGATATAATCGTTTTCAGATTGGTTTCGTATTTGTTGAATATGATCTTTTTAATACTACAACTTTTAAACAAAATTGCATAAATATGAATTTGTGTTTATCATAATACCTATTCATATTTTACATCATGGATTACAGTCTTAGAGTTGCATTGGTTGGATCTATAAATTTGAAAGATGATTCTGATATGATACTGATATTTAACAGAAATAAGGCCTTTTGTAAAAAGCTGAGAAAAAAGACACCTTCTCCATAATAAAAAGTTCTGAACTATTAAGCCCCAAATCTTTATGCTAAAAAGGGGTATATAAAAACCATAGTTCCCCGTTTCTAAATAACTCCTGTATGCCGATTCCATTAGCGCCTGATCCAATCAGGGTTTAGTTATGTGTTTGTTGTCTCTTCTGAACCAATAGAAATTGTATGGCCCTAACATCTATCTTTCTATCTATCTCATCGTCCAATTAGAGATATGAATCCTTCAATCGGCGCTGTCGGTAAATGGAAGTATTTACTTCTACTGCAACTATAGTAGAACAACCTGGGACTTAAACATTATATACGTTAATAATTAAAAATAAACAATTTGCCATTAAAGCCACCACCGATACACTTTTTATTTTAAATGTTATATAACACTAGGTCAATGTTCTTCTCTTGTGAAATATAAAAATATTATGATTCCAATAATATGAGAAGTGCAGATATATTGAGATTGTCCGACTGTAACCAAGGATATAAAAAAATAGACTATTATTTACGCTCTTTACTCATTAATCTAGTTTAATCGGACTGATATATTAGGAATGACATTAGAAAAAAATTGTAAACACCGCTGAACTAAAATATTGAGATAAACGCAGTTGTAATTTACTATTTGAACCAGAAGCACCTCTACATAGATAGATAAAAAGAAAGATTAAAAGATAAAAAGAAAGATTAAAAGATAAAAAGATAGGTAGATCGATAAAAAGATCAATAGATCGATAGATAGATCGATAGATAGATCGATATAGATATATCGATAGATAGATCGATAGATAGATCGATAGATAGATCGATAGATAGATCAATAGATAGATCAATAGATAGATCGATAGATAGATCAATGGATAGATCAATGGATAGATCAATGGATAGATCGATAGATAGATCGATAGATAGATCGATAGATAGATCGATAGATAGATCGATCGATAGATAGATCGATAGATAGATCGATAGATAGATCGATAGATAGATCGATAGATAGATCAATAGATAGATCAATAGATAGATCGATAGATAGATCAATGGATAGATCAATGGATAGATCAATGGATAGATCGATAGATAGATCGATAGATAGATCGATAGATAGATCGATAGATAGATCGATAGATAGATCGATAGATAGATAGAAGTAAGATTAGTGGCGATCAGAAGCGCTTTTTTATCGCATTAAGCCTGAGATATATAGATAGATTGATATATAGATAAATAGATATATAGATAGATAGATAGATAGATATATAGATAGATAGATAGATATATAGATAGATTGATATATAGATAGATAGATACGATAGATAGATAGAAAGATAGATGGATAGATAGATATAAATATAGATAGATATATATTTATATAGTTAGGTGAATGGAAGGATGGATGGATTGATGGATGGACAGATGGATAGATAGATAAATAGTTGAAAATATTTGTTTGTTTAAAAAAATATTTGTCGTATGTTTTGGTTAGATATTTCAATTTTCTTCATTATTATTTGTATAAATTGTTAGAAATGTAACTATGATAAACGTCGCCAGAGTGAAATGGTATTTCCACCTTTTCTGCTTAACGTTGCATCATCATTCCTCTTAAATTCAAATCAGACAAATCTCAAGCCACAAATTCACAAACTTCAGTGAAAATAAAGATAATGTTTTATAATAAGTAATTTGCTACCTGATGGTGTCATAAGGTTGCAAAGATAAAGATATTCGAAAATTAGAGTTTGTGGCAAGAACTCAATTCCTTTATAATTATTATGCATGGTTTTATAGATAAACCAGGATACAAAGATAAACCAGGATATAAAGATAAACCAGGATACAAAGATAAACCAGGATACAAAGAAAAACCAGGATATAAAGATAAAACAGAATACAAAGATAAACCAGGATATAAAGATAAACCAGGATACAAAGATAAACCAGGATATAAAGATAAACCAGGATATAAAGATAAACCTGGATATAAAGATAAACTAGGATATATAGTTAAACCAGGATATAAAGATAAACCAGGATATAAAGATAAACTAGGATATAAAGATAAACCAGGATATAAAGATAAACCAGGATATAATGATAAACCAGGATATAAAGAAAAACCAAAATTTAAAGATAAACCAGGATATAAAGATAAACAAGGATATAAAGATAAACAAGGATATAAAGATAAACAAGAATATAAAGATAAACCAGGATATAAAGATAAACAAGGATATAAAGATAAACTAGGATATAAAGATAAACAAGGATATAAAGATGAACCAGGATATAAAGATAAACCAGGATACAAAGATAAACTAAGATATAAAGATAAACCAGGATAGAAAGATAAACCAGGATATAAAGATATACTAGGATATAAAGATACACCAGGATATAAAGATACACCAAGGTATAAAGGTACAGCAGGATATAAAGATAAACCAGGATATAAAGATAAACTAGGATATAAAGATAAACCAGGATATAAAGATAAACCAGGATATAAAGATAAACCAGGATATAAAGATATAAAGGTACACCAGGATATAAAGATACACTAAGGTATAAAGGTATACCAGGATATAAAGATAAACCAGGATATAAAGGTACACCAGGATATAAAGATACACTAAGGTATAAAGGTATACCAGGATATAAAGATAAACCAGGATATAAAGATAAGCCAGGATATAAAGATAAACCAGGATATAAAGATACACCAGGATATAATGATAAACCAGGATATAAAGAAAAACCAAAATTTAAAGATAAACCAGGATACAAAGATAAACCAGGATATAATGATAAACCAGGATATAAGGATACACCAGGAGATAAAGATAAACCAGGATATAAAGGTACACCAGGATATAAAGATAAACCAGGATATAAAGATAAACCAGGATATAAAGGTACACCAGGATATATTAAGATAAATAAGGATATAAAGATAAACCGGGATATTAAGATTAACCAGGATATAAAGATCCACTAAATAAAGAGAAAGACAAGATTAAAATCAAGTTTCCTGATTTGTGTGATACCAACTTTTGAGGTGCTAAGGTTATGAATTAAATTCGTCAAAAACACGGGTTTATCTCCAAAAACATTTTTGACTGATATTCTAGATTGAAGCACCAACCAGCAGTATTTTTATTCACAAAAGATGACACTTAACATGTGGTTGTACAGAATAAGTTTGATCAATCTGACATTTCCAGTTTATCTTGAATATAAAAGACCATGGACAACCTTTTGGTATTTGAAGAGTACCAGGTCGTTATTGAAGACTTATATTTTTTGGAAGATGTGATTAAAAATCAATCTTTTGTACTTCCAATAACAGCTAATTTAAACATTTTGAGCAATTGGGCAGAAATGTTAATATAAAGATTCTAATATCATTGTTATTGCAGTGGTATAATTGTTCAAAATTCAACATAAATTCAATTATTAAACTTTTCAAAATCTGAGAATGTAACACAATGTTTGAAAAATCTGTTCGAAATACTAAATTTTGTTGTTGTTGTGTTGTAAACTTTGTGTTTCAGAGTTGATAGAATAACTGGGAATTACAATTTTAAAAGCAATCGATCAATCATAACCAGTGCACTTATTGCAAAACGCAGTACACAGTTCACAGTAACCATGCAACCTATACCAAGAAGTAGTTCTGATATTCAGGATTCAGTGGGTTGCATCTCAGTTCATATAAAACCCTAACAGAGTTCGGACCTAGTAATCTCAGATTTCTTGATCAATCTTTAACTCTTTTCACATAAATAGGAGAGGGGAAGACACAAGCAGGACAAGAAGGACAAGCAGGACAAGAAGGACAAGCAGGATAAGAAGGACAAGCAGGACAAGCAGGACAAGCAGGACAAGCAGGACAAGCAGGACAAGCAGGATAAACAGGACAAGCAGGACAAGCAGGAAAAGCAGGACAAGCAGGACAAGCAGGATAAACAGGACAAGCAGGACAAGCAGGAAAAGCAGGACAAACAGGACAAACAGGACAAGCAGGACAAGCAGGACAAACAGGACAAACAGGACAAACAGGACAAACAGGACAAGCAGGACAAGCAGGACAATCAGGTCAAGTAGGCACAAGGACAAGCAGGACAAGCAGGACAAGCAGGACAAGCAGGACAAGCAGGACAAGCAGGACAAGCAGGACAAGCAGGACAAGCAGGACTAACAGGACAAACAGGACAAACAGGATAATTATGTCAAGCAGGCACAAGGACAATCACTATTTACTAAAAAGTTTAAGGAGTGGCTATACTGTTTAACTTACAGGGTGTCCCACGAAACATGACAGTTGGTGAATAGTTGTGAATGTCTTCTTCCATATACTGTATTAGATAGTAAAGACTTTTTGCAGCTTATTTAGTTAAAAAAAACTTTCCCCAAATATAGTTTACTTAGAAATCAATTTTACTATAATATGGATGCCATAAAATATTTCTTATTATTCTCGTTGGTAACAAACAACTTAACATGGAAGAAGACGTTTTAAACTATTCACCAACTGTCATGTTTTGTGAGACACCCTGTATATGGTTGATGGTGATTGCTTGTTTTAAAATGCATTTTACAGCAACTTGAATGTAATAAATTAAAAATCTGCAATTTTTGTCGCGCTGGGTTGCAATAAAATAGTTACATGCAATATTAATGCATTTGCAAGTTCTTTGTATTTTACTCAAGTTGATCAGGAAGAAACGTTTAAATCTTAACGTCATAAAAAACCAACTCAAAGCTACTTTCTCGAAATTTTTCAGATTTTCTTTCGTTTTTTTTTAAATTTACGTTTTTACATTTTCTTAAAAGGCTTATTCTAATATAGAAATAAAACATAATTAAAATTTTGAAGTAAAAAAGTTTTTTCATAAATAGTTTTACAGGGATACACTATATCACTTACATGATATATGTATTTATCATGTCTATTAAGAATTTATATAATTCAAATCAGTCACAAGCGTAAAAGGGACTTTTGGGTGGTTTTTAAAGGCCGGGAATGTTTTTTGTTTGCTTTATTTAAACTAGATAAATGTATCAAATCACCTTGTGTTAATTGTCCAATCAATTATTACAGGAAAGACACAGTTCTAAAAGGACAAATTCTTGAAAGACAAACTGCTGAAAAGACGAACTCCTGCAAATACAAATCCCCAACAAAGACCAACTCCTGAAAAGGCAAACTCCTGAAAACACAAGCTCAACTATTAAAAGCTGATAAACTGCTGAGAAGGCAAACTCCTGAGAAAATAAAAACTCCTGAAAAGTCAAGCTCCTGAGAGGATAAACTCCCAAGAAGACAAACTCCTGCAAATACAAATTCGCTGTAAACACCAACTCCAGAAAAGACCAACTCCTGAAAAGACAAGCTCAATAGAAGACAAACTCCTGAGAAGGCAAACTCCTAAAAAGAAAAAATCCTAAAATGACAAACTCCTGAAAAGACAAAACTTCTGAAATTCAAACGTATGAAATCCCTACAAACTGCACTGAGACCAACTTCTAGACCAAATTCTAAAAAAATAAACTCCTTGGAAAACAAACTCGTAAAAAGATAAATTCCTGAAAAGAAAAACTCCTGAGCCCGCGATTTAAAAACTTCGGCTCGAGCCGTAATTCCTTAAACCCGACTTTAAGACCCAAGCTTTAACCCAACTCTGAGGACACCTTGTGTCACGTGATTGACAGCTGCAAGATTTTCGGCTCGACTTAAGGAGTTAAGCCCAATGAAAATAAGACCGACCTTGGTTGGTTTTAGTAGAGAATAAGACTCAATTGTCAAGTCTTGTTCTGAAAAGAACCCGGAATGCGCCAATTCCCACCATGAAAATCCGCCAAATAGAATATTAAACAAGTTTTTTGAACTCAACTCTGTGGAAAATAAGATGCATTTTGAATCCGAAAGCTCCATCCGTAAATAAGGCTCAACGACAGCTTAGACCCGAGCCGTATTTTTCCGAATTTTTAAATCGCGGGCTCTGAAATGACAAACTTTTGAAAAGATAAACTTCCGAAACGAAATTTTTTCTTCCTTCATAATCTTACCGCAGTGCTCGGCCCCCTAACCTATTCCAGCCGGAGTGCTCGGCCCTCTAACCTTTCCCAGCCGGAGTGCTCGGCCCTCTAACCTATCCCAGTCGGAGTGCTCGGCCCCCTAACCTATACTCAGCCGGAGTGCTCGGCCTGCTAACTTTTTCTTGTCACAGAACTTGGCCATACATGGAAACATTAAAATTCTTAATGTTTTTTTTACATTTATCAGAAGTTTGTTTCCCTGGAGATTGTCTTCCAGGAGTTTGTCTTTCAGAGTAGTTTGTCTTTTAGAAGTTTGCCTTTCGGAAATTTGTTTCTTAGGGTTTTATCCTTTAGGAGTTTATCATCAGGAGTTTGTCTTTCTAGACATAGTCTTTCCTGCAGTTTGTCTTTCAAGAGTTTTTCTTTCTGGAGATGGTCCTTTTTGGAGATTGTCCTTTCTGGAGATTGTTTTTTTTTCTGGAAATTGTCCTTACTGGAGATTTTCCTTCTTGGAGTTTGTCCTTTCTGGAGATTTTCCTTTCTGGATATTGTCCTTTCTGGAGATTGTCCTTTCTGCAGTTTGTCTTACAGAAGTTCGTCATGCCTGTTCTGTATGCTGAAGAAGTCCCTGTGTTGTCAAATTCTATTTCTTTCTTCCATTTTTTTTTTACTGAATTTGTGGTTTAAGCCAAACTATCCAACTCAGGTTTCCCAGTGAAAATAAGATTATCTTGAACCAATTTTTCAAAACGTTTTAATCTAAACAAGTTCAGTGTTCATTCTTTTCAGGGATTCTTTTTTGAAGAAAAATACGCTTCTTTCTCTCACAATCTAGCATTAGACATTTATAGCTGATCCTTCTAGCGATTAGTTTTTATCGTAAAATTGTCACGGTTCTCCGGAATTAAAGGCAAGTCACTCCATGACAATTTTCTACTCCACTCTCTTTACAACGTCATGGTATTTCTCCTTGCAGAGGCAATCTTTAGTTCCACTAAGCCCTATCTCAAACTTTGTTATTTATCTAATATTTATTATTTTTTACGCATCAGAGACCATTTATTGTTTTCCGATCCACCGTGTATAGATAACTGATCTTTTTACGCATTTAAAATAAAAGGGAGTTTCGAGGTAGATTGGTTGATAGGTAGGTAGGTAGATAGTAAGGTTGATAAGTTTGTACGTAGTAAGGTAGATAAGGTAGATTGGTTGGTAGGTTGTAGATAATAAGGTAGATTGGTTGGTAGATAAGATTGGTTAGAAGGTAGGTTAGTTTTTAAATAGGTTGGTAGGTAGGTAGTTAAGTAGATTTTACTATTTTTAAAATCTTTTTAATTTAACATTTAACACCTGTTATTGCATGGATTAATCGGTCAGTAAAAAACTCTTAAATAGTCAGAACTTTTTACAGCATTAAAAAAATGGAGCTGTCAAGATTTGAATGAATTTACAAAAATGTTTGGTTAAAACTTTGAAACGTTTTAAAAAACAATTTTGCGCCCATACTCTTTTTACTTCACTTAAATCATACCGTGGATATACCAGAAACAGTAATATACAGAGCATTTGCTGAATTTTTTTTTGATGTTTCCAGAATGAAAAATGAATAATATGTTTGTGAGCAGTTTGTTGAAATCCACAAAATATTCAAGTGTTCAGGGTTTAAGAAAAATATCAACACTAAAGGAGCCAGCAGCTTCTGCACACGACGGTAAATTTTCAGATTCGGACATTTTCAGTAACGATATCAGTATTAATTCATTTTTAATTTTTCTAATTTTAAGATGAGCTAAACAGGACTGTGTTTCAGTCTATGCTAGGAAAAGAGTAAGTAAACCCATTTTTTCCATGAAGCACTTTTTTCAATTTTTTTCGACCTTGACATAAGAATTCAATTAAAATATAAAAAGGTTCTGTTTTAACTTTTTATGTGACTAAAATAATCCAAATCGTTTTGGTGTGATAAGAAAAAGTTTTTGTTTTACGTCTTATTTTCATAGAAAAGTTTTTATGTGAACAACTAAAATAACAGATTACATTTTTTGGGATGTTTCCATTTAACTAGGAATTACTATTTTCGGATATACATATCTACATGTATAAAGTAGTACTCTCTGCTCCGATCATAACTTAAGAACCACATGACCGATTTTCCTCAAATGTTGATTGGGAACTTGGAAGAACCACGAAAATGTTCTTAGTTGAGTTTGTAGAATTTAATATGGAAAAATAGCAAAAATCGTAATTTACACCTACGCGCGGGTAAACGGTGGGAGTAACTATGAGTAACTTGGGCAATGCTAGTATAATATTTAAATATTTGTAGAGCTGATCTTAAACCCAAGACAACTGATATCCAAGATATACGAAACAAAATACATAAAAATCTTTTTATCAGGTAAACAATTAAATTCATGAATATGAATACATCGGAACAATTTTTAAAATATCGTTTTATCACTTTACACTTTACACAAAACAAAATTTAAGCAAGAAATTTTGATATCGCATTAAGGAGAAATGAAAATAATTTCCTTCAAGGGTCGATTAAAACTAAAGGTTGGAAAGGAATTGATTCTCAAATGAGTAGCCACCAAGGATACTCCTTGGTAACCACAAAAGTAGAACTCGATAGACGTTTTGACGATTATTGGATACTACCATTACTACAGATACATAAAGAAAACCTAAGTAAACCACTATCATTTTGTAGTGGAAGTGAGCTTGAAGAAATGTCTATATATTATTTCAACGCCGACGGAAAATTTGTCCGACCTCGACTATCTCTCACCATGGCAAAAGCTGTAAATTCCCATCTTCAGGTGAGGTCCTGCCTTTTTTCCTACATTGTTTTATTATTCTATGTTTTAGTTTTTGGTGTATTAATATGCGTAATGTTAAAATAAGCTATATGTTCAGTTTCTCAATAACAAATTATTTCCGTAATATTGTCTTATTTTTCTCTAAATTGTCTCTATGACTCCAGTATTTTAGTTGTCTCTATGACTAAAGTTACCTGTTGTTGTCGCTAATTGCCTCTACATCCATAGTTTCCTTGTTGTATCTAAATGTCTATATGTCTCTTATTGTTTATAAGTCTCTAGTTTCCTTATTGTCTCTAATTTCCTTGTTGTCTCTAATTGTCTATATGTCTCTTATTGTCTATATGTCTCTAGTTTCCTTATTGTCTCTAATTGTCCATATGTCTCTTATTGTCCTTATGTCTCTAATTGTCGATATGTCTCTAGTTCCCTTGCTAATTTTCTTGTTGTCTCTATATATCTAAATGTCTCTATGTATCTAATTGTCTCTATATATATAACTGTCTCTATATCTAAAGTTGTCTCTTTATATCTAGTTGTCTCTATATATCTAGTTGTCTCTATATATCTAATTGTCTCTATATCTGTAGTTGTCTCAATATATCTCATTGTCTCTAAATATCTCATTGTTTCTATTTATCTAATTGTCTCTATATCTCTAATTGTCTCTATATCTCTAATGGTCTCTATATATCTAATCGTCTCTATATCATCTGTTGTCTCTATATACCTAATTGTCTCTTTATCTTTAATTGTCTCTATATATCTAATTGTCTCTATATCTCTAATTGTCTCTATATATCTAATTGTCTCTATAGCTCTACTTGTCTCTATATATCTAATTGTCTCTATATATCTAATTGTCTCTATATCTTTAATTGTCTCCATATATCTAATTGTCTCTTTATCTCTAATTGTCTCTATATCTCTAATTGTCTCTATACCTCTAGTTGTCTCTATATCTCTAGTTGTCTCTATATCTCTAGTTGTCTCTAAATCTTTAATTGTCAGTATATATTTAATTATCTTTATATCTCTAATTGTCTCTAAATATCTAATTGTCTCTATATATTTAATTGTCTCTCTTTATCTAATTTTCTCCATATCTCTAATTGTCTCTAAATATCTAATTGTCTCTATATATTTAATTTTCTCTATATATCTAATTGTCTCTATATATCTAATTGCCTCTATAGCTCTAGTTGTCTCTATATATCTAATTGTCTTTATATCTCTAGTTGTCTCTATATATCAAATTGTCTCTATATATCTAATTGTCTCTATATTTCTAATTGTCTCTGTATATCTAATCGTCTCTATATATCTAATTGTCTCTATATCTTTAATTGTCTCTATATCTCTAATTTCCTCTATATGTCTAGTTGTCTCTACAGCTCTAGTTGTCTCTATATATCTAATATCTCTAGTTGTCGCTATATATCTAATTGTCTCTATATATCTAATTGTCTCTATATATCTAATTGTCTCTATATATCTAATTGTCTCTATATCTCTAGTTGTCTCTATATATCTAATTGTCTCTATATCTCTAATTGTCTCTATATATCTAATTGTCTCTATAGCTCTACTTGTCTCTATATATCTAATTATCTCTATATCTTTAACTGTCTCTATTTTTCTAATTGTCTCTATATCTCTAATTGTCTCTATATCTCTAGCTGTCTCTATATCTCTAGCTGTCTCTATATCTCTACTTGTCTCTATATATCTAATTGTCTTTATATCTCTAGTTGTCTCTAAATATCTAGTTGTCTCTATAGCTCTAGTGTCTCTATATATCTTATTGTCTCTATATCTCTAATTATCTCTATATCTTTAACTGTCTCTATTTTTCTAATTGTCTCTATATCTCTAATTGTCTCTATATCTCTAGCTGTCTCTACATCTCTAGTTGTCTCTATATCTCTACTTGTCTCTATTTATCTAATTGTCTTTATATCTCTAGTTGTCTCTATATCTCTGATTGTCTCTATATCTCTAATTGTCTCTATATATCTAGTTGTCTCTATAGCTCTAGTGTCTCTATATATCTAATTTTCTCTTTATATCTAATTTTCTCTATGTCTTTAACTGTCTCTATATCTCTAATTGTCTCTATATCTCTAGTTGTCTCTATATCTCTAATTGTCTCTATATCTCTAATTGTCTCTAAATATCTAGTTGTCTCTATAGCTCTAGTGTCTCTATATATCTAATTGTCTCTATATATCTAATTGTTTCTATATATCTAGTTGTCTCTATATATCTTATTGTCTCTATATATTTAATTGTCTCTATATATCTAATTGTCTCTATACATCTTTAATTGTCTCTATATATCTAATTGTCTCTATATATATAATTGTCTCTATATATTTAATTGTCTCTATATATCTAATTGTCTCTATATATCTTTAATTGTCTCAATATATCTAATTGTCTCTATATATCTAATTGTCCTCTATAGCTCTAGTTGTCTCTATATATCTAATTGTCTTTATATCTCTAGTTGTCTCTATATATCAAATTGTCTCTATATATCTAATTGTCTCTATATATCTAATTGTCTCTATATACCTAGTTGTCTCTATACATCTTATTGTCTCTATATATCTAATTGTCTCTATTTATCTAATTGTCTCTATATATCTAATTGTCTCTATATATCTAATTGTCTTTATATTTCTAATTGTCTCTATATAACTAATTGTCTCTATATATCTAATTCTCTCCATATATCTAATTGTCTCTATATATCTAATTGTCTCTATATATCTAGTTGTCTCTATTTATGTAATTGTCTCTATATCTCTAGTTGTCTCTATTTATCTAATTGTCTCTATATATCTAATTGTCTCTATAGCTCTAGTTGTCTCTATACATCTAATTGTTTCTTTATATCTAGATGTCTCTCTATTTCTAATTGTTTCTTTATCTCTAGTTGTCTCTATTTATCTAATTGTCTCTATGTATCTAATTGTCTCTATAGCTCTAGTTGTCTCTATATATCTAATTGTTTCTATATCTCTAGATGTCTCTATTTATCTAATTGTCTCTATATATCTAAATGTCTCTATGTATTTAATTGTCTCTATTTATCTAATTGTCTCAATATCTCTAGTTGTCTCTATAGCTCTAGTTGTCTCTATAAATCTAATTGTCTCAATAGCTCTATTTGTCTCTATTTTTCTAATTGTCTCTATACCTCTAGTTGTCTCTTTATTTCTAATTGTCTCTATATATCTAGTTGTCTCTATATATCTAATTGTCTCTATAGCTCTAGTTGTCTCTATATATCTAATTGTCTCTATATCTCTAATTGTCTCTATATCTCTAATTGTCTCTATATCTCTAATTATCTCTAGTTGTCTCTACATATCTAATTGTCTCTATATATCTACTTGTCTCTATATATCTAATTGTCTCTATAGCTCTAATTGTCTCTATATCTCTAATTATCTCTAGTTGTCTCTATATATCTAATTGTCTCTATATATATAATTGTCTCAATATATCTAATTGTCTCTATAGCTCTACTTGTCTCTATATATCTAGTTGTCTCTATATATATAATTGTCTCAATATATCTAATTGTCTCTTTAGCTCTACTTGTCTCCATATATCTAATTGTCTCTATATATCTAATTATCTCTAGTTGTCTTTAAATATCTAATTGTCTTTATATATATATAATTGTCTCTATATATCTAATTGTCTCTATAGCTCTACTTGTCTCTATATATGTAATTGTCTCTATATCTCTAATTATCTCTAGTTGTCTCTATATATCTAATTGTCTCTATATATATAATTGTCTCTATATATCTAATTGTCTCTATAGCTCTACTTGTCTCTATATATCTAATTGTCTCTATATATCTAATTGTCTCTATATCTCTAGTTGTCTCTATATCTCTAATTGCCTCTATATCTCTAATTGTCTCTATATATCTAATTGTCTCTATAGCTCTACTTGTCTCTATAGCTCTACTTGTCTCTATATATCTAATTGTCTCTATATCTCTAGTTGTCTCTATATATCTAATTGTCTCTATATCTCTAGTTGTCTGACCCCGATGTTGAAGAGAAGCAGAAACTGATTGCTGTTATATCTGAGATGTGGCACACCAGTAGTCTGGTAAACTTGAAATAAATTTATCAAAAAATATTAGGTTCGAAGTTTTGTGCTGTGAATCGCTGTTCAAGGATTGATCTCCATTATATGGAGACATACATATTTATTTCCTTAATGGTCTTACCCTGCAGAGATAATTAAATAAAAAGGACTTAGCATTGATCCTTAAATTTAAAAGTGACCATATTTAATATGGAGATCAAGCGTGTAAGGTTTACGATACTCCACGCAGTTCCGATATTTTAACAATAGTTAAAAACTGTAATTTCCCATCCCGATATATTTTAACCTGATAGCGCAAACCTTTAATATTTTAGACTTTGACTATTTAATCAGAATTCATAGGTTGAAATTTAAAAGGTCTTCGACATAGGTTTAAGAAAATAATAGAAAATTTGGGGCGAGTATTTAATTCCTTCAGGTTGTCTACTTTACATATAAAAATGCACGTATGATACAATTTTTAATATCCCCATCAGTGTGTCTTTAGCAGGGCATTCTTACTCCTCAGTCATTAGTGCATCCATTTTTAGGTGTCTCCTTTTAATCGTGTCCTCATTGCGTACAATTTAGGTGTCTCCATTTATTCGTGTCCTCATTGCGTACAATTTGGGTGTCTCCCATTTAATCGTGTCCTCATTGCGTACAATTTGGGTGTCTCCATTTAATCGTGTCCTCATTGCGTACAATTTGGGTGTCTCCATTTAATCGTGTCCTCATTGCGTACAATTTGGGTGTCTCCATTTAATCATGTCCTCATTGCGTACAATTTGGATGTCTCTAATTAATCGTGTCCTCATTGCGTACAATTTGGATGTCTCTAATTAATCGTGTCCTCATTGCGTACAATTTGGATGTCTCTAATTAATCGTGTCCTCATTGCGTACAATTTGGATGTCTCTAATTAATCGTGTCCTCATTGCGTACAATTTGGATGTCTCTAATTAATCGTGTCCTCATTGCGTACAATTTGGATGTCTCTAATTAATCGTGTCCTCATTGCGTACAATTTGGATGTCTCTAATTAATCGTGTCCTCATTGCGTACAATTTGGATGTCTCTAATTAATCGTGTCCTCATTGCGTACAATTTGGATGTCTCTAATTAATCGTGTCCTCATTGCGGACAATTTGGGTGAACAACTTTAAGCTTTCACATCATTGTGTACCACGTATGACTATCGGAAGAAGGAGAAATAAGTGAAGAACACAGATTAAAGGGACTGTAAGCTCCATTTCAAGTGATCCTATATGCAAAGATGGCAATGTCTGATTTACAACGGTACCCTTAAAAGCTTTGTCCAACGTATGCATTAGATATCCACGTTTTGTTTCTTTTACCTGTTTATTTTCAGGAGCGGTTTTTTTCTGCAAACGTTAATTGCGCTGAGTTGCGCATGTTTTGCTTATAAGAAATAATGGAGATATTCACATATGCATGGAATTGGAGCCATGCTTACTCATGAAATTTCGCTTTCAGGTCCTTCAAGCAGCAGAAAACTTAAAAAATGTATTTTGTAGAACTCTATATAATATTTGAAGTTGGTTAGATAATACATACTTGAAACTATATTTAGATATAATTAAGGTTCACGATGACGTCATAGATCATTCAGAATACAGGAGGGGTAAACAATCAATTAACAACAGGTAACATCTATATATAAAGTTGTTATCTCTCTTTGTCTCTACCTGTCTGGTGTGTTTGTTTGTTTGTTTGTTTATCCGATCACAGGAACGGAGATTCTAATTTGAGTGGGTCAACTTTTATCGGGGAAAACATTGATTCTTCCCCACAAACTCAGATTTTCTAATTCCTATATCTTTGCAACCTGACGGTGTAAACCTTTTATATATTATTTCAAACTTGAACTTTTTGATCTAACAGAATTCAAAGTTTGTGGGAAATTCCTTTCAAAAGGGAATTTCGTGTTCGTAAAGTCTAAGATGGGGTTTTATTTACATTTTCAAAAGGTGAACATTCCCCATCGAGGTTGTTAAATAATACTTTGTACAGCTGTTCAACAATTTGATATGGTTTTAAATTTTTAAATTCCTACACTTTTATTGGGAGAGAATGTCGGAGGAGATGAGAATTGGTTGGTCATGGTTAGATTATAAAAAATACGTCTTATTGATGGAGTATCTCTAAATCTCTCATATTTAAATTTTATTTAGATTGGGTGTCTCAAAATCTCACATATTTTTATCTTACTTAGATTGGATGTCTCAAAATCTCACATATTTTTATCTTACTTAGATTGGGTGTCTCTAAATCTCACATATTTTTATCTTACTTAGATTGGGTGTCTCAAAATCTCACATATTTTTATCTTACTTAGATTGGGTGTCTCAAAATCTCTCATATTCCTATCTAATTTAGATGGGGTGTCTCTAAATCTGACATATTTCTATCTTATTTAGATGGGGAGTCTCTAAATCTGACATATTCCTATCTAATTTAGATGGGGTGTCTCTAAATCTGTTCTAACCGGAGACTATATCCTTGCTGTGAGTGTACGGCTGCTAGCTGAGACTAAAGATCCCGAGGTTTACATTTAAAAGTTTAAAAACATGGAAAAATAACAACGTATCAAGAAGAAAACTAAGTAAACCAGTTTACCCAGTAAAAATTCTTGATTTTAGAATCATGAAGGAAGAGAACATGTATTGCTAATGTTTACACATTTTCAGGGTTCAGCGACATACGGTCAAACGAAAAAGGGTCAAACGACCTAGGGTCAAACTACTTAGGGTCAAACGACAAACGGTAAAAAACACGACAAAGGGTCAAAATGAACAAAAAATATTTTATGTATTATTTCAGGGTTAGGTTAGGTTAAAACAATTTCTGGGCCGAGTGCTGCGGCTAGGACAGCCTAGGGGGCCGAGCACTGTGGCTACTATTCTAATGAACATAAGAATAGTTTAAATTAACCAAAAATAGTCCAAATGAAATTTTGCCCGTTTGTCGGACATTTTGACCCTATGTCGTTTTACCCCCCCCCCTCTGTATGAGTTAAAGCTTAGTCAGCACTGTAGTAACCTTCAATCAGTTTGTCAAGTCAGGCATTCTTGAAATAGACAACAAAACTGAAAACTAATACCCATAGCAGAGATTATGAGATTAAAAATTCAAAAATAATAAATTGTTAAAAAAGCTTTTTTAAAGCCAAAGCTAACAGCATCTGCTTTATAATGCTAAAATGTACATGTACAAGCGCTACAGAAAAGCATAAGTGAGTTAGAGCGGTAAAATCAAAACCCAAGGCGTTGCAACACTTCAGAGTCAATCCTGTCTCAAAAATTAATGAGATTTTCTTTAAGCATGGCTGAATCTACGTGGCCCTTAATAGATATTTTACAGGTTGTGTATGCAATGTCCCAAATTTTGGCAGATCTGGTCAATGGAGAATTCCAGCAAATGGGAACAAGGTACAATTCATTCGAAATGTAGCTATTTAAAAGTAGTCTTTAATGATATTAGCTAATTTGGGAATTTATATTGGAAACACTATTTTTAGCTAATTTTGACGCGAATTGAGTCTTTGCAAAAAAAACTCAATTTTTAAAACCACCTTTGCAACCTGATTGTGTAAACCTTTGATATTTCAAATTTAGATTATTTGATCTAAAAAATTTATAGTTTGAAACAACTAAGTTCTAGAAAATTTGTGTTTCAAAGATAAAGGGATTAGAACAGTTTAGTGTGTGGCAAATACTTAAATATTTTATAAAATCAAACAAAGTTCTATCTCTAATTAAATTATTCTGCAAAATACTTTATTCCTCAGAGATATAAATACATAAACTTTTAACGAATATTCTCTTTGTCCAGATCTGATGATGAATCCAGGTTTCAGCTTTACCTTGATAAAACATTTAACAAGACAGCAAGCTTAATGGCGTATAGTTGTAAGGTAACTATTCTTTAACAATAAAACTGACCATCTACAAGGGAAGAAATATATCAGTTTGTTCGTAAAATCGAACGAATGAAAGCATTTTGTTCGAATGTTATGAATAGCATACACATTTCCCTTCCTATTCGTAATCTAGTAAGGTATGGTATTACGATATTCTACTCTAAGAACGTATTAGGTGTATTAGGTGTGCATTAGGGTTTCCAAATTTCCGTTCGATCTCTTTCGTGAATTCTTGACACTTCGTTTTACAATGTTTAATTATATTTTTAATAAAATATTAAATAGGACTTGAAATCCTTGTTCTCCTAAGACATTCGGCAAGTTTAACTTAGACAATAAAATTTTAAAAATAAGAATAGATTTGATAGAATATTAATTATATCTATAGTAGCTGTAAATTCAGGATAAAGATTATTCATCTTAAATATTAGAATATAACCACACAACATTTCTTCATTTCAATATTACAATATAACCACACAACATTTCTTCATTTCAATATTACAATATAACCACACAACATTTCTTCATTTCAATAGCCAGGCTCTCTTTAATAACCGGTATAAGACCAGAAACATTGATTTACTTAAATTTCCTTCAAGATTATCATCTTTAGTTCTGCAATAATTTTTAATATTTTTCATATCATTATCTTAACGCTTGCACCTTACTTGTTTTTAAAGTGTGTAGCTATGCTAGCCTGCAACCCAGGAAACCAGCAGATGGACAACAACCTACCAAACCTGGCATACACGTATGGAAGGAATGTGGGGTTGGCCTTTCAACTAATTGATGATTGGTTGGACTTTATGGCATCTGCTGAGCAGTTAGGTATACTTATATTGATTAAACTACATGACTCTGCTGAGCAGCTAGGTATGTATATTGATTAAACTTCATGGCATTTTCAAAGCAGCTATGTACGTATATTGATTAGACTTGATGGCAGCTGCTGAGTTTTTGCAATGCAATGTAGCTAGGTACGTATATTGATTAGAATGTATGGCAGCTGCTGAACACCAAGGTATGTATATTGATTAAACTGCATGGCATCTGTTGAGCAGTTTAGGTATGTATATTCATTAAAATGCATAGCATCTGTTGAGCAGCTAGGTACGTATATTCATTAAAATGCATAGCATCTGTTGAGCAGCTAGGTATGTATATTCATTAAAATGACCTGGCATTTCAAGCAGCTAGGTACGTATATTGATTCGACTTTATGGCAGCTGCTGAGCAGCTAGATATGGTATATTGATTAAACTTCATGGCATCTGCTGAGCAGCTAGGTACGTATATTGTTTAGACTTTATGGCAGCTGCTGAGCAGCAAGGTATGTATATTCATTAAACTGCATGACATCTGCTGAGCAGCTAGATACGTATATTGATTAAACTTCATGGCATTTGCTGAGCAGCTTGGTATGTATATTGATTAAACTTCATGGCATCTGCTGAGCAGCTTGGTATGTATATTGATTAAACTTCATGGCATCTGCTGAGCAGCTTGGTATGTATATTGATTAAACTTCATGGCATTTGCTGAGCAGCTAGGTACGTATATTAATTAAACTTAATGGCATTTGCTGAGCAGCTTGGTATGTATATTGATTAAACTTCATGGCATTTGCTGAGCAGCTAGGTACGTATATTAATTAAACTTAATGGCATTTGCTGAGCAGCTAGGTACATATATTGATTAAACTGCATGACATCTGCTGAACAGCTAGATACGTATATTGATTAAACTTCATGGCATTTGCAAAGCAGCTAGGTACGCATATTGATTAGACTTTATGGCACCTCCTAAGCAGCTAGGTACGATATTGATTAAACTTCATGGCATCTGCTGAGCAGCTAGGTATGTATATTGATTAAACTTTATGGCATCTGCTGAAAAGCTAGGTACATATATTGATTAAACTTCATGGAAGCTGCTGAGCAGTCACGTACGTATATTGTTTAAATTTCGTAGCATCTGCTGAACAGCTAGGTACGTTTATTAATTTAACTTCATGGCTGCTGCTGGGCAGTTACGTATATATATTGTTTAAATTTCGTGGCACCTGCTGATCAGCTAGGTACGTATATTGACTAAATAATATTTTGTGTGCAGGTAAACCGGCCGGTGCTGACCTACAGCTAGGACTAGCCACTGCTCCTGTTCTATTCGCTAGCAAGGAATTTCCAAGACTAGATGCTCTCATTGGAAGGTCATTTCATTTATTTGAATATACACTATACAGGGTTAACCACAAAGGATGAGATTGTAAAGACGAATTTTGAAAAAAGGTCAAATTGAAAAGTTTTTAGCCTATGTTATTCCTAGGGTATCCATAGTTTTCCTAAAAAATCAAACAATTTGGTCTTACCGTGTAGCCAGCTATAGCTGAAATAAATATAAGAACGAAGAGTTTTATTAAATAGACGGCGCTACGACATCTGCTCTAATTACATTTCCTCTATGGCCATTTGCTCTATTAACCATTTGCTTTATAGCTCTTAGATTACGACGTCTGCTCTATATGTCATCTGCTCTATACGTCAATTTATCTATGACATAACACGTCATTTGCTCTATAAACATTTTTATGACCGACTGGACTCATAAAAAGCATAAATGTCTTATCACCATTCTCCACAGTGTCATCTGAGAAGCGAAGAAAACGCTCACCCCCAGCGGTCAACTTGTACTTTTCTGGAATGAGTTCCACAGCTTCAGTGAAGGTCTGCGGTGTGACTGGATGCCCACCGTGAGAAAATGATGAACTTTGAAGAACTGATTAAAACTGCAATTTGCGAATTTTCCAAAAAAAATTCCCGCATTTAATAGTCAAGTTATGCTCAGGAATTCCAGTAAAAGCTATTTCATAGTGTATTTTTTAGGTTATAGAGCAAATGACGTGTTTAGTCATAGAGCAAATAAGGTATAGAGCAGATTGAATATCGAGCAAATGACATATAGAGCAAATGACTTGATAGAGCAAATGGAAATAGAGCAGATGTCGTAGCGCCTAAATAGACTGTATTTAAAAAAATGATAATGAAAAAAAAATAAAAGATCTTATCTAAAAGCTTACAGTGTATTAATTATATTCTTTTTCAAAAGTCATAAAGTGCATAAAATCGTTTTCTTCTAATAAATAATCTTTGATTTCATTTTCTAAATTATTTAACATTTCATGATGTTACTTTCTTATTTTTGGTATTTTCTCAAACTTTGAAAAAAAAAATCTGTTTTTTATGTTTGACTTCATGAAAAATCCCTGAAACATACTAAATCTTTCTTCTAAAATATATATCTTGTTGTTGAAATCATCCTGAACTGGGATTCGCTCATGAATGAAAAATATTTAAACAAATTTGATTTAGCTTTCAACTCTCTCAACCCTCTCAACTCTCTCCTATAGTTGTGCACACATGTTTATTACTTTGTTTTGTTCCCGTCTTGCTTAAGGGACTGTAAACATAATTTTATGTGAACAAACCTTCTCTTTATGATTGCCATGTCAGATTTGAAGTCTGATCAGCGATGAATGAGTTATCTTTATTTTCATTATTAAAAATTAAAACTGTGAACTCGAGTTTCCTGGATTTTTAAGCATGAAAAATAAGTATAACTCCTTCATCATCTTTTAGATAATTAATTTAATGGTACCATTGTAAATTGGACATTCCACTTAACGAATGTCGAGTAACTTAAAATTACCAAAGATGGTCTAATAGTAGAAGATAGTGCATTAGAAATGTATCCGAATAGTGTTCACTTGTATTTGACGTCATTGGCTGCAGTTTTGGTTTTGAATTTAAAAAATCAACAATAAAACTCTAGTTATCAAATAAATTAATCATCTGTATGTGCTAAGAATGGTCGATAATTAACGATACGGTTGTAAACTTCTAAATGTGTTCAATCAAATAAAGGATAGGATGCTCTCCTATTGAAATAAAGCTAAAATTAAATTTTGTTATACGCATCTCATTTGTAGGAAAAATTTCAAATATTTTAAAACAAAATTTGTTAGATCTTATTAAGTATAGTTTTATTAGTGTAAAGCAGAATTTTAGGCCGGTAAAGTGAGTAAGGCCAAAAAAACTTGATTTGAAGGGGCCAGCAAATTGCAAACCAAACATTGCAATCTGTTTTAAGATAAAGTTTATCTACAAAGAAATTAAAGTTATGCATTTCTAACAGCAAATTACGTAAAAAAACAAGATTTTTGTAAGAGATATTCTTAAAAAGTCGTAAAATATTTTTGAATTATAGAAAAGACGACATTCTGGGGCTTCTTAATTAAACCAATTGAGGCGTCTGGCTTTGTTTCTAAATCAGGAAATATGAATAAAGGGAAAGGAAATGGCTCTGGTCTGGCAAGAGAAAGCCAGTCTCACTGATTTGTAGACAAGTTCGGTAAACCTTACACACACTCTTTTGGTACAGACAAACAACATGACTACAGTCAAGGAAGTTGCAGAACAATGTCGTCAATTATAATTAAGCTTAAATAACGACTAGTAGTAGTTTATAGTAAACTTTAATCAAATAATATTTTTGCATGAAAATTTGGCTTATAGTGTTGACTTAAATATATAAATAATATACTACATGTATATTAAACTTATTTTTAAGTAACAATTAACAATAAACAAATGTACTCTCCTAGACTGTACAAATACCGAGATTCTTATGTACTGTATATACCTACAGTACACTCGGTTTGGTAAACTTTACACACACTCTTTTTGGTACAGACACACGCACATGACGTTTCCGCCCCCTGGGTTATACAATTTATTAATACAGGGTTATTGATTATATTCATTTAGAGTTACACAATACATTCATACAGGGTTATACAGTATATTCAAACAGGGTTATCTGGTATATTCATGCAGAGCCCTGGTATAAATCTCAATGCCTCATCTATATATTACCAGATCTTTCAAAATTACGTGTTCAGTCCCTTTAAGGTGATGTTGGGAGGAAAAGGGTTGGACCGAGGAAAAATATTTTGAAATATTTAACGGAAATAAAATCTAAAAATTATTCTTTGCCACCCGGACTCCCCGGACACTTTTGAAATTCCAATGCATTTGTTTTTAAAACATTCTTAGTCATAAAATTGTTCTGTAAGCTTCCCCTCTAGGATATATGCATTTGTTTTTAAAACAAAACTAGAACAATAAAATTTCTAAAAATGCATTAGTTAACATTTGTCTCACTTTGAAGCTGAAGGGGGACAGAGGGATGTGGTTTGTTGAGAGGGGGCCTCATGCACCGGTGGAAGGGAAAAAATTGGGGTTGGGGGGCTCATTTTATTTTAGTTTAAAATCTTCAAATCAAAATTGACATATTTTTCTGAAGAGCTTTAGATACCTCAAAAAACTCTGTCACTTTGATATTTTCAGGCCATATTTTATGCAAAAAACATGCTGGGTCGACCTTTGGACAGGGGTGCTTTGCATTGTTGAGATTGGAGTGACGTGATTAGCATTTCTTAATGTTTTATCACGCATTTCGAGTTCCTGATTCTAATTATTTTTATTACTTTCATGATATCTACACTTGTCCCAATGAGTACAAATTTTTCTGCACTAGAATTAGAACCACTACTGATTACTGGATATTTCTAGATTGAACATTTGTTTTAAACTCTAGGATAAAAGGTTAAACTTATCAAGGTGTCAACTAGCATACTTAAATGTCAGACCAAATATGATTCGATTTTTCCTCACTAAATTACCTTCATAAAATGTAAATCGGGGTTACCCATAAAGTGTATGATTTCTGAGACGACTGTTCGGATATTTTTCCGACTTTTTTTTTACATTCTAGGAGACCTACAGAAGAACTCTTGTTTTTTACATTCTAGGAGATCTACAAAAGAGCTCTTGTTTTTTACATTCTAGGAGACCCACAGCAGAACTCTTGTTTTTTACATTCTAGGAGACCAGAAGAACTCTTGTTTTTTACATTCTAGGAGACCCCCACAGCAGAACTCTTGTTTTTGTACATTCTAGGAGACCTACAGAAGAACTCTTGTTTTTTACATTCTAGGAGACCCACAGAAGAACTCTAGTTTTTTACATTCTAGGAGACCTACAGAAGAACTCTTGTTTTTTACATTCTAGGAGACCCACAGCAGAACTCTTGTTTTTTACATTCTAGGAGACCCCCACAGCAGAACTCTTGTTTTTTACATTCTAGGAGACCTACAGAAGAACTCTTGTTTTTTACATTCTAGGAGACCTACAGAAGAACTCTTGTTTTTTACATTCTAGGAGACCCCCACAGCAGAACTCTTGTTTTTTACATTCTAGGAGACCCCCACAGAAGAACTCTTGTTTTTTACATTCTAGGAGACCCACAGCAGAACTCTTGTATTTTACATTCTAGGAGACCCCCACAGAAGAACTCTTGTTTTTTACATTCTAGGAGACCCACAGAAGAACTCTTGTTTCAGCTTTAGACAATGTCAACTTGCCAAAACTATTTTCGAATCGTTATTATAAAAGGGTCTCTTAAGTCATTGTTAAAATCTCATTCTTTATTGGTAACTTTGTATAAGTATTTATAATTTCTAGACAATTTGGAGAACCAACCGACGTACAAGAAGCTTTTGAAATTGTGTTAAAATCGAAGGTAAAATATATGTTTTTATAACAAATTCAAATTTATTTATTAAAAAGATAACTTTTTTTAAACGAGGAATTATAATCTTCTAAAAGGGGAAATGAGGCCATGTTTCAATGCGAATAAAGCCCTCTTGTTCAATCATTGTCTCCAATAGAAACATTTTTTGTTTAAAAAAATAGGTTTAGAATTTGATTTTTATGTGAACGGTAAATGCAGATTTTTTAATATTAAATCAATTTTCTTTTTATTTAAAAATGGTTGCATGACCCAGTGAAGGTTTGCATTTCAAGTTTTTTACTGAAAATGCAATATTATTAAATTCATTCAATAGCAGGTTGTAACGTTAGCATAAAGAAAACTAAGCATGAATAACACTGATTTTACAGTTTGGTTCCGGCCCCAGCAAGCTGCGACATTTAATCACAATTTGTTCTAATTCACAAACCTTTTTCATTTAAACACGTTTTTGTTGGCGGATGCTTTTAAACGAAAAAGTAAAATATGGCATTTCCTTTCTAGATGGTTGAAATATAAACCAAAACGCAACCGAATTACAATATAAGGAACCGATAAGATCAGGGCCTGGTTAGTCCAGGTTGATATTTATAATGATGAGTGTGTTCTATGCAGCTAGGTTTTTACCTAAACCAGGCCAAACTGTAACACGTAAAGACTTAGGTTTATCATTTAATTTAAAAAGAATGGTTATAGCAAAAACGAACAAACTGATTAGTTAGCATTACAGTTTAATCAAGAAAGGCCTTCTTCTGCCAGTAAACTTTTTGAATGTCCACCATTTTTGTTCAGTCGCTAAATTCGGGCAACGCCGGGCACTTTGGCTAGTTCCTTAAGTAAAATGTACTTTTTTAAAGATAATGAATATGCAATTGCAATGTGTCATTAATGTGAGACGAATGCACTCATGCACACTGCATACTGAGTGCACAGTGCACACGATCCAGTTTCAATTCGCTTCATGGAGAAAGTTTTTAAATCCTTTATCCTCTATCCAGTTTTTAAATCCTTTATATCCACTATCCAGTTTTTAAATCCTTTATATCCACTATCGAGTTTTTAAATCCTTTATATACACTATCGAGTTTTTAAAGCCTTTATATCCACTATCCAGTTTTTAAATCCCATATATCCACTATCCAGTTTTTAAATCCTTTATATCCACTATCCAGTTTTTAAATCCTTTATATCCACTATCCAGTTTTTAAATCCTTTATATCCACTATCCAGTTTTTAAATCCTTTATATCCACTATCCAGTTTTTAAATCCTTTATATCCACTATCCAGTTATTAAATCCTTTATATCCACTATCTAGTTTTAAAATACTTTATATCCAATATCCAGTTTTTAATCCTTTATATCCACTATCCAGTTTTTAAATCCTTTATATCCACTATCCAGTTTTTAGATTCTTTACATTCACTATCCAGTTTTTAAATCCTATATCCACTATCCAGTTTTTAAATCCTTTATATCCACTATCCAGTTTTTAGATTCTTTACATTCACTATCCAGTTATTAAATCCTTTATATCCACTATCCACTATACAGTTTTTAAATACTTTATATCCACTATACAGTTTTTAAATACTTTACATTCACTATCCAGTTTTTAAATAATTTATATCCACTGTACAGTTTTTAAATACTTTATATCCACTATCTGTTTTTGTCAATAATGGGAAAAGCTGAAGAGCCTTTACATCTATCTTCAGATAAATAAAAATTGTAAAGTTAAAAAATAAGACGGCGTAAACAAGTAGACAACTTATTTTATCAGGCACGCTGGATTTACAAATAGTTTTTAACATAAACATTAAAAAAATATAATACTACAGGGCCTGGACCAGACTAAGGATTTGGCTAGGAAATATGCAGAGATGGCTCTAGATAATATATCAGGTATATAGGGATTTCAACACAGATAAATAAATATATTATTAGATTGGAAGACAAACAGATAAATAAATATATTCAAAGAAAGATGAGTATATATGTATATATATATATATATATATATATATATATATATATATATAGATATCTTTATAAATGTTGTGGTGTGTAGATGATAAATCGATAAACATATTACCATATAAAAATAAATATGGATAAATGTATAAATAGAGAAATCGATAAACATATTACCATATAAAAATAAATATAGATAACTGTATAAATAGATAAATCCATAAACATATTACCATATAAAAATAAATATGGATAAATGTATAAATAGATAAATCGATAAACATATTACCATATAAAAATAAATATGAATAAATGATTAAACTAAACAATGAAGAAAACAAAACAAAAACTTAAAAAGGAGATGCAAGGATATATATTTACATCATTTTCAGGATTTGTTGAAAGCACAGGGAAGACAGATCTTCAAGCACTAGCTGAGATGATTGTGAACAGATGCAGTTAAACTCAACACATACATCTTAAAAACTTTCTGATTAAGAAAAATGTAAATTTTACTAATGCTACATAGTAAATAACTTCTGATATAGTACAGGGTAACCGACAACGGATGAGACTGCAAAGACGACCTGGAAATCTTTAAATGGCAATCCTAATTGGGTAAATTAAGTCTTCTACCTTGAATAAAGTCTTTTAATGGATTATTTAATGATTTGCCACAAAAAGAGACATGAAAGCAGGAAATAATAAATTTACAGGGTTTCCTCAAATAATGAGATTGCTGGCCTGCTTCTCATTCTTTGTGGATAAATTTTACATTACAGTTTACAGTGTACAATGTACAAATTAAGCACTTAGCTTATTATTGTTATTTTGTAAAATTTCCATTAGATTTTTGAATATATATTTTATATTATTCTGTATCTTTATTCGCTAAAATAATGACTCCTGGTGGATTTGAGGGGGGGGGGGGAGTTTCGCAAAAACAAATTATTTAATCTGAAATGTCGTCTAATCAAAATACATTAAAAAATATCTGCTTTTGATGCTCAGCATCGTGAATTTAAACCTGAACAAATTATCGTTTATTCATCACTACCCGTATCCTAAGCATTGTTGTTTGTATTTAACTGGACATGGATTCTGATCAATTTATCGTGTATTTACCTGGACCTGGATTCTGAGAAATGTGTCGTAAATTTAACTGGAACTGGATTCTGAGCAATGTATCGTGTATTTATCTGGACCTGGATTCTGAGAAATGTATCGTGTAACTGGACCTGGATTCTGAGCAATGTATCGTGTATTTATCTGGACCTGGATTCTGAGCAATGTATCGTGTATTTATCTGGACCTGGATTCTGAGAAATGTATCGTGTATTTAACTGGACCTGGATTCTGAGCAATGTATCGTGTACTTAACTGGACCCGGATTCTAAGAAATGTATCGTGTACTTAACTGGACCTGGATTCTGAGAAATGTATCGTGTATTTAACTGGACCTGGATTCTGAGCAAAGTATCGTGTACTTAACTGGACCCGGATTCTGAGCATTGTATCGTGTACTTAACTGGACCTGGATTCTGAGAAATGTATCGTGTATTTAACTGGACCTGGATTCTGAGCAGTGTATCGTGTATTTAACTGGACCTGGATTCTGAGAAATGTATCGTGTTTTAACTGGACCTGGATTCTGAGCAATGTATCGTGTATTTAACTGGACCTGGATTCTGAGAAATGTATCGTGTATTTAACTGGACCTAGATTCTGATCTGTATCGTGTATTTAACTGGACCTGGATTCTGAGAAATGTATCGTGTTTTAACTGGACCTGGATTCTGAGCAATGTATCGTGTATTTAACTGGACCTGGATTCTGAGAAATGTATCGTGTATTTAACTGGACCTAGATTCTGATCAATGTATCGTGTATTTAACTGGACCTGGATTCTGAGAAATGTATCGTGTATTTAACTGGACCTGGATTCTGAGCAATGTATCGTGTATTAAACTGGACCCGGATTCTGAGCAATGTATGTTGTATTTAACTGGACCTGGATTCTGAGCAATGTATCATGTATTTAAGTGGACCTGGATTCTGAGCAATGTATCATGTATTTAACTGGACCTGGATTCTGAGCAATGTATCATATATTAAACTGGACCTGGATTCTGAGAAATGTATCGTGTATTTAACTGGGCCTGGATTCTGAGCAATGTATCATGCATTTAAGTGGACCTGGATTCTGAGAAATGTATCGTGTACTTAACTGGACTCGGATTCTGAGCAATGTATCATGTATTTACCTGGACCTGGATTCTGAGCAATGTATCGTGTATTTAACTGGACCCGGATTCTGAGCAATGTATCGTGTATTTACCTGGACCTGGTCTCTGAGCAATGTATTGTGTATTTATCTGGACCCGGATTCTGAGAAATGTATTGTGTATTTAACTCGACCTGGATTCTGAGCATTGTATCGTGTATTTACATGGACCCGGATTCTGAGCAATGTATCGCGTTTTTAACTGGACCTGAAATCTGAACAATGTATCATGTATTTAACTAGATTCTGAGCAATGTATCGTGCATTTAACTGTACGTGGATTCTGAGCTATTTATCGTGTATTTAACTGGACCCGGATTCTGACCAATGTGTCGTGTATTTAACCGGACCTGGATTATGAGCAATGTGTCGTGTATTTACCTAAACCTGGATTCTGAGCAATGTATCCTGTATTTATCTGGACCCGGAATATGAGCATTGTATCGTGTATTATCTGGACCCAGATTCTGAGCAATGTATCGTGCATTTAACTGGACCCGGATTCTGAGAAATGTATGGTGTATTTAACTGGACCTGGATTCTGAGAAATGTATCGTGTATTTATCTGGACCCGGATTCTGAATAATGAATTGTGTATTAACACGAACCCGAACTCAAAGCAATGTATTGTGTATTTATCTGGACCCGGATTCTGAGCAATGTATTATGTATTTACGTGGACCTGGATTCGGATTTGTAAAGTGTAAATATTTAATGATAAGAATTAAATAATAATAATGCTTTCATTCTTAAATTTCTTATTTTTTTGAGTATGTGACTCACAATGTATCCCAGAGAAAGCTACGGGTTGACCCGCCCTCTTTAAGCCGGCAAGGGGGATGGGTCAACAGGGCTGAGATATATAATTTGAATTTTATTATTCTGACTTAGTAAAACATTTCCTATTTAATAAATTGTCAAAATGTTAGAGATATTTAACTTATTTTTGAGTGTGTGAAGAATATTTGTGATGTTATTGTCTAGGAAAGAATATGTAGTACTTATTATATCTGGTCATTTTACAGAGAATACTGCTCAGTAAGGGGTAAATACTCGGTAGGAGATAGGTAGGGAGATTTCTTTGTACCCTTGATTTTACTCCATACATTGAGATTTTACTCCATACTTTGAGATTTTACTCCGAACATTGAGATAGGCTGACAGAGTAGGAGTTGAGATATTAGATATTTATACATCAGAGGTTTACAAAATAAGTTTAGAAATATTTATTGAAACAGATCTCTACTAAGCGTTGTTCAAGAAAGAATCAAAGGCATCTAGATTTATATATGTTCATTACGTCAATAAAATACACAACGGCAATAAATATTGTTTTTTTCTCTCTCTCCATTGCATCTGTCAGACTCATATGGCCAGGGCTACAGAAAAAAGCCTACAGAATTAAGAGATTGGTTTAAATGAAATTTTATATGACTATTTAGTTTTAGAATTTTTACTACAGTGATAAACAGAAAACTCTGAAATAGGAAGAAGACTTTTAAACTAAAGTTAGGACTTAAACTAGTTCAATGAACATTAGACTTAGCAATTGTACAGCGTAAATAGACCCTTTTTGCTCAAATTGTGCTTTGCTAAGTTACTAGTAAAAATCTTTGTTTTATAACAACATCAAAACGCTTAAGTATTGCTATAATGTCGTCTTTCGGAAATAGCATAAATACATCTATAAAGGTGCAGAGTACATATTCACAAAAATATAAAAGTTATGTAAACAAATATCAAAAATACATTTTCTTCTTTGAAACGTGCGCCGCTGCACTAAATTTTGGTAAATTCATATAAATCACGTAGCTAGGCAAAAGTCGGGGAAAGTTATTTTCAAGTTTTAAACTTGCAATTAATGGCTTAAAAACTGGCGGATTCTTGGAATTTAGTGATCTCCTGGAATTTAACCCATTTCCGTGAATCTTAAGTTTCAATCTTGTAGCTTAGGAATTTTAAAGTTTTCGGCTTAGCGGAGGAAAATTGCACTGCTTTAAACTTGTTGTTTTTCATTAAAAGATAATTATCTTTTAATGAAAAAGTTGAATCCAGTCCAACAAGTTCTGCGCTAGGAAATATCTAAAACGTTTCAAATATTGCAACTTCGAGACTTTATTATGTACAAATAAAATTCATTGCAGGAATTATCTAATAGGTAAATCATAAAGTACAATTCTCCCTGCAAATTAAAACGATTGTTTTATTTTGAATGCTTTTGGACGCATTAATGTTTTGATTTCTCTCTTCCTCTTTCAAGCATAAATTTGTCATCTTATCACAAAAATGTTCAATATTTCAACTCCACAGTTTGTTTTGGTAAATTTAGATTTTTACTGAACTTTTTATTTTAAAGAATTTAGGCCAGTCCCTTCTTCGCCTGTTTATTTATGCACTTTCTTTACACCAGGTCGTTTAATTCAATTTGCCTTTCTTCCTTCTTTGTTTCAGTCTCAATTTCCTGAGTCTAAAACTAAAGAATGCGCGAATTTTAAGTTCGAGGTTAAAAGTTCTGTAAAATAATGAATAGCTACTTAAATATTAAACTTTCTCAATTTTAAATTTGAATTTCCCGAGAAAAATCTGAACCAATCAGAGAAAAGGATTTACGGAGAATATTTCATAACCATCGCTAATCAGCTGTTCTTACCTAACCGAAAACAAAACATATTTCGAGTTAAAACCGTTTTTTGGGTTTGCATCCAAAAATTAATTTATCTAAAACGTGAAATTTCTTCAACAAGGTTTTCACTTTTAAATATATCCTAAAGTTGAATGCGCTTTCTCAGCTGCAGCTGAATGATGATTGAATAATAGACAAATAGGGAAAATGCAGGATTTCAAGATAATTTAAACCTCTGTTTAAATTTTAACTCGTCGATTTCGGCGAGTTAAATATTTAACCACAGGGTTAAATATTTTACCTCACGGTTAAAGTTCAGGTTTAGATTAACTCAGAAGTGGCATTTAATCATGAACTTAAAAGTTAAGTGAAAACTTTTCATTCTTTAGTTTTAGACTCTGAGCTGCTTTTTATATTTTTTTATCCTGCCCGAGGTAAATACTTTCTAAACATTCTTAGATTTCTGTTTTTTTTTGGTAATAAAAGTGTGGAATAGGAAACAGACATTTATTCAATCTTAAATAGTTTTACAAGTAGCTGGAAAATAGACCTATATTAGGTGAAATAGGCCTTTGTACACTGCACAATTTCAGTGCTACATTTTCATTACACATTGTAAAATCATAACTTGAGTCTAACGGTCGTCCTCCAATTCTACTTGATCCCAGATGAGATCTTGAAATCTCTAATTTCAGATAAAACCAATAAATTTGTCAATATGACTATGTGGGCAGACAACATCAAGTTTGTCAAGGATATCCTAGACGGAAAATATAAAAAGATTGACGATGCTGTTGCTGAGGTAATTTCGTAAAACCATATTTGATATTTAAATTGTTTATATATAAATATTCTACAGGGGTGATGAAAACGTTATATTGGGAATTGTAATTTAAGTGTAAACAGGGGAACTACAAAGTATTTAACTTTAATGACGACCTTCACTCACTAATTTTTTATTGTGTCTTGTATATGTATATTGTATACAATGTATGTTCAGAACTAAAACTAAATGAAAAGTTAATTATTGAAAAATATAAATAATGTATTAATATCTGTTTGTTTATTTGTTGGATGTCAGAGCATAACTTATTAACCCCTTGACCGATTTGCCTCAAATTTTAATCGGAAAACTCGAAGAATGTGATTTAGAAATTCTGAATTGAGTTCGTTAAATCGTATAAAGAAAACTTCAGGCAAAGTTAGTTTAATCATGAAATTATATAACTTCCTTCTTATATAGTTTATTAAATTATAAATTTTACCATTAAGTTATCAATACTTGAAATTTCACCCAAACAAATATCTTTTCTTCTAAACATATTCTTTTTAACATCACAATATTGAACTAATTTTCATTAGGCAATTGTGTATTTTGTCTTATCTACATATGTATGTGTATCTAGGGTTGTTAATCGTTTTTGATAAAGATCGTTAAACGATCGTTTTTTGTTTTGTTTTTCAATTGTTTTCAAAAACGACCGTTTCGTTTTAGGGAAAAACGATCGTTTTTAAAAACGACCCACTCGTTTTCAACTTTTAGAAAACTTTCAAAAACGATCGTTTTATAAACGACCATTTTAAAAAACCAACTTTTTAAAAAACAATCGCTTCGTTTTCGATTTTTCGTCGTCGTTTTCATAACGAAACGATCGTTTTTCAAAAAATAAAAATGTTAACATCCCTATGTGTATCTATCTATATATAAATTTAGCTTGTCTGTCTGGGTGTCTGTCTGTCTGTCTGTCTGTTTGTATCCAATAAACGTCAAAACGGCTGAACCGATCGGGCCCAAATTTTTTGTGGGACATCTAGGGACCCCAGGGAAGGTTTATGAATGATC